TTCCCATTTAGTTCCAGTGGACAAATTTTTTTTAAGAGCAAAAATTAATATTCAAAAACAGAAGGTAGTTGGGCTAACTATGATATCGGGACGTCAAATACCTCAGTCCCACCCGTGACCATGGGTGCGGAAAGCACCCGAAACGTCGGGAATTAAAAAGTTAAATTAAACGCGATAAAATCAACAAAAAATAGTTTCATTCAATTATTCAATTAGCTAAATAAGGTGCCACTGCTAGGCATAGGCATTTTCTTATATCTTTTTTTTATTTAGAGACAGATAAGAACTCGTATGGTTAAATTATTATTTTTTTTTTTTTTGGTATTCTTTACTAATATTTGTGAAAAGCGCAAATTATTTAACATAACAAACACTCACGCGTCACCCAGAGAGGTTGGCAGAGACTACGGATTTCCATTTGGCATGATCCTGATACACCTCTCTCGCCTCCTCTGCGTCTATATACCTACGCGCACATGCTCGTCGGTTAAGGATACTCTTAATTTGGCCCATTTTCAATATATCGCCAATTTGGTCAATAATCTGTCGGCTAGGGCGTGCGTCTTTTCTCGGCTCTGTGCTTCACTTCTGCAACAAAAATTTGCTTTGTCACTCTTTCCTCATTCATTCTTCCTACATGACCAAATCACCGAAGCATTCTTTTCTTAATCCTGGTCACAACACTATCTTGCAAACCACACTCTTCTCTTATCACACAATTTCTCACCCTGTCACTGAGATTCAGCCCTAACAACTCCTCTTAATGACGGCATTTCTACAGCATTCATTCTGTATATATTTTCACTACCATAAATTAAATTTGGAACTAACACATCGCTGTGAATTGCCATACGTGCCTTTTTTGATACATTTAGACTTTCTACAATAAAGTGTAGTCTCATTTACACTATTATTTGTTTTTGAATGTATAAGTATCATGTGAGTTAATTTCTGTAATTAACATAATTATACAAATTAAAATAATACTAATGATTCTCTTATGAATTTACGTCATTAGAAGTTCCATAATATATTATAGGGAGGGATAGGGAGAATTTTGGTCACCTAGTTAAGTGCCTTATGAGATACGTATTTAGGAGATACCTTACTAAGCCTAAGAATGAATCCTTTAGGTATCGAGTACATAATTGTACTGTTTATTTTTTTATTTATACTTCATGGCTATAAATATTATGTAAAAAGTATGATAAAGTGCAAACGCCTTTCAGCACTCTCTTCTAGTCAAGCTTGCGTTAAGAGAGATAAAATGAGATATGCTTAAATTAATTATATGAGAATCATATATTTAATACATTTATAGGTATCATTAAGTCTGATAAGTAGTCCTGCTTACCTACATAGATATATTATGTACTATATCGTGTATAGTGACATTTATTGATAGCTTAGATTATATATATAAAAGTTGAAAGAAACACTGATATTCGGGTATGCGGTATTAAGTGATGTGTGTTGTGACGTTGTGACAATTCCTTTCGTATTAAATTTAATTTCTTACTATCTAATTAATGCTGGCAGTTTAAATAATATTTAAACTGCCAGCATCAATAATGTATTACTTACGGAAATTCATAATTCACTGATACTTAAAACAAAGAATACCTTATAAAATATAACTTATAATTAAAATTAATTGCTGATTTCAAAGAACAAAAGTTATACAACAACTTTCACATAAAAGCTTCACTGAAGTCGGTGTTTAGGCCTAATGTATTGCAGAATTAAAGCCCGCAATTTAGAAGTTATTATGTGGAAATTTTATGAAGATATTACTAGTATTAGTTATTTCAAGTCTGCTAATACTTCAAAATAAAATTTTAATTTGTTAACCTTTTTGAGTGGACTAAAGAATATCATTATTTTCGACTTGGTAGAGCCATGCTGCTATTCTATAGCTGTAGCAGGAATGGGTTTACTCAACCTGGGAGGGACCTCGCTCACACAGAATACTAGCGCAAAATAACAGCTTCATAATGTTATGTTTCAAATGGTTGGTGTGGAGAACCGGAGACCCATTTTACTGGAAATGAGGTATACCATCTTCGTTCTTATGGTTAATAATGCATCAACATTTTGATTCTTAATCGTGGATTTATGAAGATGCCCTTAAACCATAGCATCGACTTACCATCAGGTGGACTGTATGTTCGTTTGTCACCCTTATATCTCTCGTTATATCGCTTCTATATTATCCTTATATCTCTATATTCAAATGTTACAAACTCAAGGTCAACAAGGATATATTATATAATTGGTAAATTAAACAAAAGAGTGACTTTTAATAAATATTATCTATAATCTGTTTAAAAAAGTTTCTTTTTCTGTTTTTATATATGACTAGCTGTGCTCTGCGGTTTCACCCGCGTATATCACGCGTCTGCGCCTTGCGACATGCGAACTTCGAGAGAGACATCACGACGGACGGTTGCTGAATTAACAGAGATTTAAAAAGTGAAATATGTTACTAAAATTACATGGTTAACGTAATTGGTGGTTATGCATGATACAGGTACTCATACGAATAATGTAGCCTAGTTTGTACCGGCGTTACTATTTCACATTTTAACATGAAAAAGTAGTTATTGTGACAACTGTAATAGTTAAACATATGGTATTGCAGACTTTTTAGTAGATATTGATATCTTCTATAAAACTGAAGTACATTACTTTGCTCTATTATCAATAGTTTCCGCAGCGTACGCGATATAAGGATTCTTTTTGGTATTTTTTTCACACCTTGGGTTACATTAACGAAGTTTTCATACGGATCCCTAACTTTTTTGAAAATATTATATAGCCTATGTTCATCAGGAATAATGTAGGATTTTAATGGTGAAAGAATTTTTCAAATCGGTTCAGTAGTTTCGGAGCCTATTCAATTCAAACAAACAAACAAACAAATCTTTCCTCTTTATAATAGTAGTGTAGATGTAGATGTAGAAGTGTAGATAGGGTGACAAACGAGCACACAGTTCACCTGATGGTAAGTGATTGCTGTGGCCCATAGACACGAGGATAGATGTAGATAGATCTATCCTCGTTTGCGAATCAAAATGCAGATGCGTTGTCACCCGTGAGGACTAAGATGGAATGCGTCTTTTCCGGTAAAATAGGTCTCCGGTGCTCTACACTCACTATACGAAACACAGCAGTGTTAAGCTGTTATTTTACGCTGGTATTCTGTGAGAGCATGGTACTTCCTCGGTCGAACCGACCCATTCGTGCTACAACTATACCAGTAATATAGCTGCAGCATGGCTCTACCACGTATAGTAGTACGTAGTAGACGTAGTTTCTGTTTCAATGTCATCGGTTACATTAAAAACTTCACGTCAATTGTTTTACACTGGGAGGTGGAACTTTTTCGTCAAATTTTATGGGACCACCTCTGGTATAACCTCATTTTACAAAAAAAGATATATTATTTAAAATTAGTAAACAAAAAAAAAGTAAAAAAGAAAGAACACATACATTCGAATTGAGAAACTCAATCTTTTCTAAAGTAAGTTAAAATTGTGCTCATTTCACACTTCCTTAAAAGGAACCAATAAAATATTTGTAAGCAACACTCGACTCGATAGTTCGCTCTCACAAAGGATCCATTTCCAATGGTCGAACATTGTCACCGCTATAAATGTGTAAGTGCACTCAATCTGGGTTGTCTTCTAATTTCAAAGTCATGAGCACTTTACTACTACAAGCACAAGTCTTCGAAATTCAGTACTTCACTTGTTCGAACTTTAATCGCTTTCGATCTGTGTTTGCGAAGACTTTATCACGTCCTCTCTTCCATTGGACGCATAATACGGAGAGTCGTCTATAATCGCTACGCTTAACAGATAAATTGAAAACGTTCCTCTCTATTGGCTATATTATATATTACTTTTTTGTTTCATATAAACCAGTGCTTGACTACGATATCATCTGTTTTTAAGTGGTAATAAAGTCCTAGATGGTAAATCAGATCAATATATATATATATATATATATATATATATATATATATATATATATATATATATATAACGCTTACAAGAGCCTATTCGTATAAATCACAAAATCTTAATCACTCTTGTCTTAAAGACATATTGTTACCATTACAGCCTATTAAAATCTATTGCTGAACACAGACCTTCCCCATAGATTGCCTCATAGGGGTGATATTTCCCATAGTTGCTACGCTTGCCAAGCGCGTTGGCAATCGTGGTTTTATACCTGGTAGAGCCATGCTGCATCTATATTAGTAATATAGTTGTAGCACAAATGGGTCGGCTCGACCGCGGCGGGACCACTCTCTCACAGAATACCAGCGTAAAGGGGCGGCTTAACGCTGCTGTGTTTCATATGGTGAGTGTAGAGAACCGGAGACCCTTTTTAGTGGAAAAAAGGCATTTGGTCCTCATGGGTGGCAGCGCATCTGCGTTTTGATTCGCAAAGGAGGATAGATGTAGATGTCTATGGGCCACAGGTGCCACTGTCCATCAGGTGGGCTGTGTGCTCGTATGTCACCCTATCCTATAAAAAACGCAGTTTTTTTTATTTTAAGTCGTTATGAGGAAGACGCTGCTGCCTTTCTCCTGATTTGTTTCACTCTGTCGCCTCTTATTACACCCACTGGATAATATGGATTAGTGGATATTCTTACCACGCCACTACACAGACATTTAGATTAACTGAAGAACGTAACAAACCTTTCGGTTGGTTATACAACATTTTTTTATTTATTACAAGCCGTTGCTTGGCTACAATTCCACCTGGTGTGTGGTGGGTAAGTGGTGATGAAGCCCTAGCCGGTATAACGGAGTCATAGCTCACAAAATCTTCATGTCTTGATAACACCCACATGTAATTGGACAGAAACTGTTAGTACCGACCTCAGAAGCTATTATGAAGAAATTGTTTTACTCTTTTTAGGTTTTAGAGTCTATAATTAATTTTTATTATAAGTTTAATGGTGGTAATTTTTTCTTTGTATCCAGGAGGCCAGTATGTGGTTGGTGGCAGTCGTGGGGATATCCTGGTGATCAGAGACGCTCGACCCGATGACACCAGTTCATACTCATGCGAAGCACAGCACATACTCACAGGCGACAAGAGACGAAGTCCACCAGCAATGGTGGCAGTATCACGTACGTGCGAAATTCACATAACTTGCTCAATAATTTTATCACATTGATTTACTGTATATTAATAAAGAAAATTGAATGATTATGTCGAAATAATGCAAAATATTTTGTATGTATGGCTTTTTGTAATATATTTACCTACAGGGAAAGTGAAGGGATGTTAGTTCACAATGCCATGACTGATGAAGTGGTTTAATTGCTTAAAGCGTTTTATAAATTTTAAATTCTAGATCGTACAGGACCAACAGCTTTTAGTGCTTTCAGGGGTCCGAGGTTGAAACACCGCCAACTTCCGGACTGATACCACTGAAAATTTCTTAATAATTATTTTTGGCCCCATCCGGGATTCGAGCGCGGGATCTCTCGACCAGCAGTCGCGTTTACGAGCACTAGATCAACGAGGCAGTTCAAAAAGTCATTTACTGTCTATAGAAACAGATGATCAGCGGCTTTAACGCTGCTTGCCAGTACTAGGATGTGTATTATGCATGTATTGTATACGGAACACTGTAACGGTGGTGTAAGAATATCCACTACCCCATATCATCCCGTGGTTGTCGTATGAGGCGACAGAGGGAAACAAACCAGGAGATGGGCGTCGACACCCTGAGAACTAAAATTGAATGCCTAGTTTCCAACAAAGACGGTCTCCGGATCTCCACACTGACCTTACAAAATAAAACAGCATTCAGCTACTATTTCACGCTGGTATTCTGTGAGAGCATGATCTTCCGCGGTTGAGCCGACCCACTCGTTTTAATCGACATATAGCTGAAGTATGGCTCTACCACGTAGAAAATCGATATGCAAAAAAAAGTAAACGACTTGACCACGGTTTGACGGCTACGTGGCGCAGTGGCCTAGCAATGAGTTACAGCGCTGAGGGCCGCGAATTCTAATCCCGCACGGAACAAATATTTGTATGACCTGCAAGTAATTGTTCCGGGTCTGGATGTTTTTCCTTGTACAATTTATGTTTTTAAACTGCCTCCACGATACAGAAGAAAATCCCAGTGTGGCGGTAACGTTTAAAAAAAGATAAAAGAAGTAAAAGTATATTAAGGGTACCCTATAGTAGTTATATAATATTCAGGTAACTTTATTGACATTGCTAATAGTTGTATTCTATTTTATATTTATCTCTGAATATAATTTCCTGACAGATGCGACCGGAAGTATGGCCCCACGAATGTTAAGTGTGTCAGAAGATGAGACTGTGCCTCAAGGAGGCGATATACGGCTTGTTTGCTGTGCTATCGGCAGTCCACCACCAACTTATAGGTGACGTCTTGATTTTACATAATTATTAGAACAATTTCTTTAAACATTTTCTTTCCCTGTAACAATTAAGGTCGTCTTGTAGTACTAGTACACCTCGAGATTGTCGAGCAAAAAGCACTAAATTGGGGAGAATTTAATAACAAACAGCGTATGTTTAACCTCACGGCAGGTGCCTGTGCATATGTAATAAATTAATTTAAAAAGTGTCTTTTTTTTAAAGGACCCAAGATGAGCCAGTCTAATAGTGCATTGTCTGTTCAATTTTTATTTTGCGTTCGATAAAAACGAAAATGAATTTATAAAATGTGTTGTCATGTGACCTGAAAAATAATGAGTTTTTGCATTAGATATAATTATTCAAGGTTTATAGAGTCTCTGTAAGGAACACGTTTTTTCACGACTTCCTCTCACGCGTCACGTTTACGTTAATATAGCAATTTCCGTGACATGTTTATGTTTTTTTTTTGAGATAATCATTATAATCTACTGAATTCACATAATCCTTGTTCGCTTCATTTATTCATTTATTCATAACTGAGGCTAAAAAAACTTAATAACTACTGCAACGTCTCCTTAAGTCTGAAAAAATAAAAGAGACTGTTGTATACATATATGATTAAAAACGAAAGTAGTATATTTTAACCATTCGTTATTTGCAGTTGGTTCCGTCATGCAAACGGTCGTCTCAGTCCAGTCTCCAACAGCATCAGAATCTCGGTATCAGATCAAGTGCTGGTAATACGTCGGGCTCAGCTCTCGGATGGGGGCGTATGGACTTGCAGGGCACACAATCAGTATGGCGAGCAAAGAAGGGACGCCCGATTAAGGATCCGGTCCAGGCTTGTAGTCAGTGTGCACCCTCAACTACAGGTACTACAACTTTTGTAATCTAAAATTTCAAAATTTAGGCTTAATTATCTTTACAATAAATGAAACCAGTAAGTTTATTCATAATTTGTTAATTTTATACTATGCTACCCTAGAATCGGAAAAAAATTGATAGAAATTTAAATTTGAAAATTTGAGAAACTAAACGATAGTTAAATTATGCCTTAAAATTTTTGTTCTTGAATAAAAATTAATCTTTTTCTTTTTTGACACAGGAAATTAAAATTTTTATGAGACGTATTTTTTTAATTGTTTACTCTTTTTTAAGCGGTACTTAAAGTTCAAATCTCTCCAGTCCAAGAGTTGCACAGAATATAATATACGTATAAAAAATTATATACGTATAAATATTTCCACTAGTGCCTTATCCCGATGGTATAATGAGGTGAATAAATCCCAAATTACGACCCTGTTATGTGTTTTGTAGATGCTTTCAATGCGCTTCCAGCTCCAGCTATTCCTTCTCTCCTTGTGGTTAGTGGTCATAAGTGCAACTGTTGATCCTACACGAGTAACATTCCAAGAAATCCAATAGAAACATTGGTCTCTTCACCGATGAAATGGCACTTTACGTCGCTGAAAGCAATATTCAACAATGTAAACTGTCTCTCATTTATCTCTTGAACAAATAGTTTTTCAAATATCTAAAGATAACCCTGAAAAAATTGTAGTCCTCGGGTTCACGTTCAATACCAATTATCTTTTGCGATACAAGCGTCGAGCACAATAAAGGAAAATGCGTCACTAGTCGCTTCCAAGTGTTAGTGAAACATTAAAGTAAATTTTCATTAAAATTTAAGCATCATTTATATAGATCCTGTGTAAGATGTATGGTATCATATGCAAGCATAAAATTAAAAATAAACCTTTCAACCGATATAAAAAAGAGGAGGCTTTCAATCCGTCGTTATATCGTGTAGTGGCGATGCAAGAACATCCACGACTTCATATTGTCATCCCGTGTGTGTTGTAAGATGTGACAGAGGGAAACAAGTCAGGAGATGGGCAGCAACGTCTTCCTAATAACCACTAAAAATAAAAAAACTGCGGTTGCCAAGCGTGAAACTTTAGAAAATATCCCCTATGAGGCAATCTATGGGAGATACCTATGTTCAACTTGGACTTTAGTAGGCAGTATAGACTTTATAATTTTGTTGAAAAACCTTTTACTTATGAGAAAATCATCAAAGTCTTTAATTTACAAAGGCCTCTTATCTTACACGAGATTAATTCGTTACCAAGTCAACCGATTTGGTGATTATTATCGAATAGTCTGTCAAATATACTGTTTTAAACATGCAGCTCATATGTGTAATAACACGGATCGGTACTGAGAACTAAACGTTTCTTGAATATGGTGTAGGAGTCATACATTATTAGTTAGGCATTGAAGATTTTTTTTCCATCGGTGGTGTTTATTTTTTTTATTTTTAGGTACTACTAGTTACTATTCCTTTTCTGCCTAAAAGTCTGTCTGGGTAGGAATAATATCCTTATTCCTATTTCTGTAGTCAAGGAGCAGTGTACTGCTGTTTTCCGGTCTATAGGTTATATGACGTTCCAACTTAGTCCTCAGAGTGTACAATGCATCTGTAAGCCTTCTTTGTTTGAAAATGGTTACAGTTTTTCATGAGCTGCCGTAGCTATTTACTATCAGGTAGACGTTCGTTTGTCACTTTAGTTTTACAGAGGAAGATAAAAAGGGTGGGAGTATTTTTTTAAACTGGGAAAGGTATTTTTATTTTTTTATCTGTGCAAATTATTTACCTCGTCTTAAGATATTAGATCTTAAAAATAATAAAATAAAATCCTGGAAATTGTATATGGTACAAAAATAGATATTAACTTTAATCATTACATTTTTCACAGATACTTTTATAAGTATCCAGTCTTCGGCGATTTCTCTTGGAAACAAAGTTATCGAGAGATTTTAACTTGGCAAATTCTACAAACGCTAGGTTGTTCTAATGGATTCATTTAAGTTTTGATACAGTCTGATAACTTGGTTACATTAAAATATGTTTGGATTACATTTACATAAAATTACTGTGATTATAAGGAACATTTTGAAATGTTGTTCTTTTTACTTTAAAAATTTAGATAATGTTTTTCGAGTGTATTTATGCATGCTCTGTATCCTTAACGGCATCGTTAGATTTGTCTTAGTTCTGGATGTAACATAGGGTATAAAACATTTCCCACTTCAGTAAACGTTTTTACACAGTCGTATTTTTGATATTACTGTAAGAGTGTTAATTTTATAATTATTATTAGGCGTTAGATATATACGAGTACTCCGAAAAACTTTCGAAAATGTGTTGCAGTTGTGTGGTTGACATTAAAAATTATAATGGAAAGCCTTTTACAGTCTAAAATTACAATAAATATCCAACCATTCATATCAGAATACAGCAACAAGTAGGTATACTGCTGTTTAGAGTTAGAAAAATAAGAAAGATGTTCCGATTTTGTGGTCCGTATATATATCGCCCTGAAGGCATTGTTTTTCAGAACAATCCGAAAAAAAAATAAGAAAAAAATACCAGTGAAATAAAATTTTCGTGACAACTTGATTATCGGTATCTTCTACGTCTCTGGGGCACATAAGGTCGTAGTAATCAAGTTAGACACAAGACACTTGTGGGAAGCTGACGTGACGTGCCGGTGTCCCTGAATAATTCATGCGGGAGCTCGTATTGACTTTGTGCGGACGGTTACGGGCGGTCACTCCATGTCACCACGTTTTAAACTTCAAACATTTAATAATTAAAATCGATAAATATTAAAAGATATTTTTGTTGAATGTTTTAAATTGTATCATCGTGGAGCGGGTCGTACAGTTATCTGTCCTGAATTGCTCGTAAAGAACCGAACATAAGGCATTTTAAATCTTGGATAAGAAGTTGCAAGACCTTTCGGACATCCCTAAATCATCTCTCACAACAATAAAGAGACGAGATGAAGTACTGTATTCTGTCACCGCCTAAATAATAATGATTTTTTTTAAATATGGATGAAAATGACAATGGTATTTGTTCAACATGTGTACCGCCTCATGGAGCATCATTTTAGATCACGCCACAAATTCGAACAGGCGCACTGCTTACGTACTGGTGCTCTGTTCTTCGATGTGGCCAAGGTCTATGGTATAGGTGTACCTATAACATTTGTAAAAGTTATACAAGGCTTGTTTGTCAATCGATCCTTCCATTTTCGCGTCGAGGGTATTTTCAACTCTTCCAGACCTATCAGAGCAAGATTTGCCCAGGGCTCTGTGCGCTCCCTGACTGTCTACTTACTTAACGAGAGAGTTATCCCTATTATACCTGACACTCGTCTTGCACTTCATGAGCCCCTTCAGAATCTGTATTCGACTCCAAACAGCAGCAAACCCATTAGGCGATTGAAAGCTTGCTATAAAAATACACTCTTTAGACCCAAACGACACACGAGAGAGAGGTGAAATACCCAGGGACGACGTTAAATAGTGTGATACACTTCACTCATTACATTAAGGCTGTTAAAAATAAGGCGAAATTTGTAATGTATCGCCTTTTCGCTCTTAAACATAAACGCAGTGAGCTGTCCTATAACACAAACTGCATCTTTATGAATACTGCATACGTCCCATTATGACATTCTATACATGTCCTTTGCCAACACGATCTCGACTTGCCCACAATCCATTCGTATGTTAGCTGCCCCCCCCCCCTTCGGGTGGCATTCCAAAAACGTTCTTCTTGATCTCCTGTTACACATACACACATTCAGACACAACACAAAACAATTCAAATACAAAACAGTAAGGCACACCGCGTTCGTCGGTGAACGCAAGGTCATAGACATACCCCGTACACGAGGTTCAATACCCGTGATACGGGCCGTTTTTACTTTTTCGACCCGTTTTCATCATTCCGATAGTGGTTCAGCCGATCTCCTTCTGAGAAACTTTTGAATAACTCCAAAAGCAGGGGCCAGGGTACCTCGGAACTGCAGTTAGCGTCGCCGCCGGAATAGTTGCACTCATTAGCTCGTAAATCCTCTTTATTTCGATGAAGCTGTGAAGGCCGCAGGGCCACCAGCACACACTTCAAATATGTCAGGATCGTGCCAAGTTAATTCAGTAGTCTCTGCCTACCCCTGTCGGTAACGTGAGTGTTTATGTATGTGTTATTTTAAGTAAGGCTGAAAATAATCAACTGTTAGTTGTACTAAATTAGCGAACTAAATATCCAAAATCCACATAATTTTGTATTTAAATTAACAGCTTTTAAAATAAACCCTGGGAATGGAGCGCTAGTGCTATAAATCATTTATTGAATTTACAGGACGAAGTTGTGTAACAAATTTACGGACCGCACTGATTTATAACAGCCCGCCCACTGTAGGATAAAATAGGATAGAGGAATTATACATAGATTATATAAAAATACTCGTACTTGTCATATGTAATGTTTTTTTACTACTAGTTTGAAAAATCCTCTGTGCTGAGAAGCACCAGCAAGAAACCCAGTGTAACTTTGTTACCATGAAATAATTTGTACAATTATATAAAATTTTAATATAATTGAAAATACAACAACATGCGTTGATCATGAGCTGTGATGATAATGATTTCTTATATTTACGCGAAGACTACACATTAAATGGAACTATTTTTACAGAATTTATCGTGTTTAATTTAAATTTTTAATTCCCGACGTTTCGCGTGCTTTACAGCACCCATTGTCATGGGAGAGGGGGGACCCAAAGTGTTTGACGTCTCAATATTTTAGTTAGCCCGGCTACCTTCAATTTTTGAATATTAATTTTTGTTCCAATCTACGCAGAATGAGCTTACACTATCTTGAAATCTTGCAGTGGTAGGTATGCTTGTGTTTGGATTTAATTTTATTAATTATAGGATCCCAAGCAGATGACAGCATCCATTCATCTTCCCTATTGAAATATGTATGAAATAGGATGTTTTTTTAATTTCAATAGCTTCGCGAATCATCCTTTGTAGGAATCGGTGTTCTAGTATGAATACTGGGTTTGATAATAATACACAGACGTTTTATATTTTCTGGAATACGTAATGTATACTACACGGAATATATTTTATTAAAATTATATAAATGTACTTCTAGGTGGCAAATTCAGGGAGTTCAGTCACTTTCAACTGCTCGGTTGAAGGTGGAGAGGCTAGAGTGAGATGGCTACATGACGGCGTACCTGTAGGGGGCGGGGAACGAGTACTGAGGGTCCATGGAGTTGTTCGAGCCCATCGCGGCATGTACCAGTGCTTTGCTGAAAGAGACCTTGATAGTGCTCAAGCTGCTGCAGAACTGAGGCTTGGAGGTAAGTTATTGAAAGCTATTAACACATATAAGTTTAAAGAAATTAACAAGTTTAGTGATGTAATTTTCTAACTACTGAGTCTAGATTATACTATAATATGACATTTTTGTTATTTTTGATTTATATTTTATAGGATAAGGGTGACAAGCAAGCACGCATGGCAAGTGGATGCTGTTGCTCGTAGATATCGACATTTATTATCGATTAAGAATTGAAATGCAGATGGGTTGTCATCCCTAAGTCACCGGTTCTTTACACTCACCATATGAAACATAGCAGCATTAAGCTGCTATTTCACTCTATTATTATATGAGAGCGTAATCCTATCTCGATCCAGCTGACACCTTTGTACTGCAGCCATAATATAGCATTGTTGGCCCCATCACGTAAAGATCATATTTTAACGATAATATATTTAATAAGATATTGGACGAAAACCTTTATCACTCTAAATATATCTTTTCTGAAAAATATCATAATATATACGTTAAATTTTAAACAATATTACGCACGTAATATTGTTTAAAATTTAACGAATATACTCCGACGTCTCGACCCGCGGTATTGATACCGCATGGAACAAATATAACTTTTTATAGTAGTCACAATCGCAAGGCATTAAATGAGTGTGCGACAGTAGGACTTCATAAGAGCAGATGAAGATTACATGAACTTGACCATGAAAGATCATATAATGTTTCCGATACTTTTAGAGAATATGTCTAAAGTTATTTTAAAATGTATTCTTTTAAACATTTTAGAATAACTTTTGATGGTAAGACATGCAGGAATTCGATGCATGCAGACTCAGGACCGTGCTTTTTGGCATTCCTTGGGGGAGGCCTATATTTAGTAGTGAACTTGTAAAGGGCTTTAATGATGATGATGATGATAAATAGTTTATATTATTGTATAAAAATTATTATATTCTATTCTATCATCATTGTATTCACAGCCTGTCAAAAATCCACTACTTATAAAGGCAGGGGGAGGGGGATAGTTGTCTTCTCTCTATCGCCTCTTACAACATCAACGGGAATACACAATATACACAATTTTTATAGATACATTGGGGTACAACCATTGAAGTAACCATTGTAAAACGACACTGGAACAGCCACCGCGAACAAAATCTGCTCGGAGGCACAGAGTATATTTTTGTGACACAGAATTAGTAAGTTTGAACCCGTAGCTTTAGCGCGTGTTGCAAACAACAACGACTCGGCGTCTCTTCTAGTACGTAATACATTTAACTTCAATTGTTGCAGCAAAGAAAAGGCATCCGTTGTATAGCGCAGTAGCCGTCGCATAAAGTTGCCATGGCCACTACGCTATTACTCTGTCGGTGCCTCTTATATATCCCTCTTAATTATCATAATATGGGAGTTACATTTTAATATTATTATGAATATGTATAGTATACGTGATAGTTAAGAGGGAAAACAAACCTTCAAACTAAATACTATTACCTCTTAATATTTGTGCACAAGGATCTTAAGTAATCGTCTTTTTGGTATTTAATGATTTTTCATCTACTCGTTGGTACGGTACGGATGCAAAAGCAGTATTCAAAGTAAATAGGTGCCAAAAGGATCGTGATAACGGTAGTTGTAGAGAAAGACTCTAAGTATTTAAATTTATTCAAAAAACAAACGAGAATAGTAGCTTTACAACTAAGCTTCTTACTCCCAGTTGAAAGATATCAGTCGACGGAACGGATTCTGCATAAAATTATCAATGCAAAGTGTCTTTGTCGTCGACGCTGGAAGTCTCTTTAATTGATTTTATTTTCAGATAGCATTCCCACAACACAAATGGTTATAATAGATGGCTGTTTGTGATTTTGATATTGTTACGTTTTACTTTATAAATTTTAGTGTTGTAATATTACTCCCAGTTTAAGAATATCAGTAGACAAAACAGATTCTATGTTAAATTTTTGAAGATAAATGTCTTTCCGTGTAAAGCCAATGTATGAATGTCCTCTACCCTATATCGTTCGATGGGTGTCGTAAGAGGCGATAAAAAGAAACTAAAACAGAAGATGGACAGCAGCATGTTTCCAAAAAACAAATCTACGGTTGCCAACACATTTGTCAAACGTACACGGTAAACGTCCTTCCTATGACGCAATCTTTGGGAGAGGCCTATGTTCAGCAGTGGACTTTTCTCGGCTGTAATGGATGGAAATGAGGCACTCCATCTTTGCCTTCAGGAATGACAACGCAGTTGCATTTTGATTTTAAACGAGGATAGATGTAGATGTCTATGAACCACAACGTTTACTTATCATAAGGTTGTTTATTCTAAAAAACAATGGATAGATGGACGTCGACCCAGGCAGGATGTAGTAAGTACCTGCGTGTGAAATGGTATCATATGTTTTTAAAATGCAACTTTTTTTAATTTCTGTTCGTAAAATTTACTATTACCAGTGTTTTATATTTTGCATATTATTCGCGCTCGATTGTGCCTGTTATATCGGACCCGGATACGGGTCAGTTATTGATTAAACTCTGCTGCAGTAATGACCGGACAGGTCATGCGTCACACGTCGCCCGACAGGTAACCTTTGGTGTAAGTGAACGATAAAATCGTAATTTGTATGCGTACTGCAAATAATTGAAAGAGTTGGTCAGCATCTGTCTTCTCGTCTGATTACAATATAGGTGTATTCAAGGCAAGAGCGAACAGGCTTTTTTGAGTTTATAAACTCAGGCGTTATTTTGCGAAAATCTATTATATCAGATATTTTAAAATTGATGGCAAAGATCCACGTGAAAAATAAAATAATGCGTCTTTCCTATTTTGAATAACACCTCCCGGACTTCCTTAATTACGTATCTCAGAGACTTTTTCCTGGTAATGCCCCGTTTAGAGACGAAACACGTGGCGTAATATTAACAGTGGCGTTCAATACTACTAATTGCATATACTAGGAAACACTTCATAGTTTAGTGATATTGGGATTAGTCGACAGAGATAACATACGAAACTAAGGGAGGGCGAGAGATGCTCTTCAAACTAGGTAAGTCACAATTTATTTTTTACTTTTCATGATTTTCATTGATTTTAGCTTTCAAAAAATCAAAAAATGTTTAACATGTAACAATAAATTTACATCATTGTTTAACAGACTACAGAGTTCTTCTTTTAAGTATTTTTCAATACTTGTGACAACTCGCTCTTCCTTAATTAACATACTACAAGTATAACATAACATACCTTTCCTTTTGATAAATTAATTATAAAAATTTGTGTGTGTGTGTGTGTGTGTGTGTGTGTGTGTGTGTGTGTGTGCGCGTGTGTGCGTGCGTGTAAGTGTACGTGTGGTTAACACCTTTATTACAGTTGGCTTTTGTTAGGTCGATTGTGCGCTTTACCATCTTCGGATACATCACCACTTACCATCAGGTGGCATAATGGACAAACACTGGCTTAACTAAACTGAAATCGAATAGCAGCATAACGTGGTCTGATAAGCCGCATGCTAGATAGAAAGAACAAGACTTAATATTTTAAGATCGATAAAAGGTTATGTTCATACTAGGTAAGATACACCATTTTATCTTTCACGCGGATTTTCGTTAATAAATGTTTTTGATTACTTCTCTTGATAAAGAATAATAAATAATTTTAAATTATTGCGCATTGAAAAATACGCTTTGCGCTTGATTCTTGTACTAGAGTACTCGTAACATCCATAACGAAAGAATGACGCTGTCCCCGAATCTATTAAAATCGGAACTTCGCATCGTCGGCTCTAAATTGAATATCATACATTAATTTTTCATATTTTTTTAAATATTTTCAAAATTTTCGGAAAACTTTAATAGCCTAGGTCTTTATGATCAGATGGAGAGCAATTTTAGGAGCAGTACTCTTTATCTGTTCGTAAAATTGCATCACAATCGGTTCAGTCATTTCGAAGATTAGCCCGAACAAAGAGAGACACACTGACAAATTTTAAAAAATAGTTATTTATCGCTAATATCCCTCTAACATTAACAGGAGTCAGTTATTTCAGTATTACAGATAGAACTTCAATTTTATTTATGTTTTTTTTTTAATTTTTTATTATAGTATAGTGAGACAAACGAGCACACAGTCCACCTGATAGTAAGTGGATGCTGTGGCCCATAAACATCTACATTTATCCTCAATTAAGAATCCAAATGCAGATGCTTTGTCACCCCTGACGACTAAGATGGAATGCCTCGTTTCAAGTAAAAAGGGTCTCCGGTTCTCTACACTCACCATACGAAACACAACAGCGTGAAGCCACCATTTACTTAACGTTCGTATTCTGTGAGAGCGTGGTCCTACCCCGGACGAGCCATATATATATATATATATTATATATATATATATATATATATATATATATATATATATATATATATATATTATATATATATATATATATATATATATATCGACGCCGAGGATTCCGATGCTAGCTGAGGCAGCAAGGGGAGTGCCTTAAAACTGAGGAGATACGGCAAATGGGTTCTTTTTAGCGGTATACGTGCAAATTTGTGTCTTCTGGATATTGAACTGGACTAGATTTAGCCGCCCTCAATCTGAGACTTTGTTCAGCAAAGAATCGACATCAGACACAAGTATATTCCGGTAGCGCCGTGGTAGCTCAGATGGTTAGCGCTCGCTGTAAGTCTCACAGTACGTGAGAAACTCGGATTCGATCCCCGCCGGTACCAATGAAATTGTTAATTGCAATTTTAAGTGCCGATTTACCTCCTGCTCAGCGGTGAAGGAAAACACCGTAAGGAAACCTGCATGTCTGAGAAATAAAAAAAAATATAAGACATGTGAAGTTCGCCAACAAGCATTGGGGCAGCGCGGCGGACATTTACTTGCCCTAAAACCCTCTCAAAAATAAGAGGAGGCTTGTGGCTCAGCAGTGGGACGTATAAAGGCTGCAACTTTACTTTACTTTACTTTTGTTATATATATATATATATATAAATGAGAGCCTTTTAACAAAGAGTTGGCGCTTTTCTTTAAGGTCAGTTATAAGGCTACAAAAAAATCACAATGTGGTCTATTTCTTCTTCAATGTATAACTGTAATCGATAGCTTTTCTCTTACTTTGCTACTTTTCAATAGCTAATTAATAAACGGTTACTTTACCAAAAAGATTTAATTAAAAAGACGACCTTTTGATGTATATAAATTAATTAATATTAAAAAGTCTCAAATACAAAACCAAAAGGCCAATCATAATTTGATACCCTTTTCGGGCCAGCTATATTCCTGTTACATAAAGAAATTTATATAAAATTAATTTTTATTCATCAACTAATAAAGTGAAAATTTTAATGGGGTTGGAACAATTTTCACAATAAATAAAGGGAATTTTACGTGATAGAGTCAGTGTAGAGCACTGGAGACCGTTTTTACTGGAAACGAGGCATTCCTTTTTAGTCCTCACGGGTGAAAACGCATCTGCATTTTGATTCGCAAACGTGGATAAATGTAGATGTCTATGGGCCGCAGCAATACCATCAGGTGGACTGTGTGCTCGTTTGTCACCCTTGTAACATAAATTGTACTATAAAATGAAGAATTATAATAAATGAAAAGTTTACTTTAACTCTATAATTTCTGTTATGCTTTTCAATATACATTTAATAGAATCTGGCTGGCTGCATTCCAGTGAAGTTAGGGTGATTTTTCTAATAATTAATAAAACTAGTCCATTATACAGGAGAAATTCTTTTAATAGAGGCAATTATTTTAACAAACAATATTAAACCAAAATGATAATATAATGATATATGTCACTTAAATTATATGGTTTTAAATGATTTGAATATTTCAGTTATAAAAAATATACCTTTATAAGGACTGCCCTGAGCCTGAAAGAATAATCCGATTAGGTAAATATATCCCCGATCACACCCGTCCTATCAAATTATGTTTTAAATCTGAGGATACAGCAAAATATATACTACGCAACAAACGTACATTACAAATCCATAACATTAAGATATACTCCGATCAAACCCCAAACCAACGTAAATATATGCTTAACTTGAAGAACGAACTTGAAAAACGTGTCGCTCAAGGAGAGACAAATTTACAAATTAAATATATTAAAGGAACTCCTAAGATTATTGTAGCCTCCGAGAAGAAACCAGCAACAGACACGTCAACATCAAAAAACTAACAATTACTTCAGAAAAAATTACTTATCATATCGCTACTGATTACTCAGATATAACCTTTACAAAAAAATCATTGAAGTGCTTCTACGCTAACGCCCGCAGCATTGTAACGCCGGGAAAATTCGATGAACTGAGATGTGTAATTAACTCTCTTCAAACTATAACACATATAATTGTACTTACCGAAACTTGGATTAAGAGTGAAGATGAGGCAAAAAGACTGCTAATCCCAGGATACACGCATTATTTTAACTTTAGACAAGCCAAGAAAGGAGGTGGTGTCTCCATTTTCGTCTACGATAACTTAAGACACAATCTTATAGAAGAAAATTGTATCGATGATATTCATTATCTTTGGGTGCACGTAAAAAAATTCTCTCTCGATGTTGGTGCAATCTATAAACCGAATAAAACTAAAGTAAACAACTTCCTTGACGTATATGGACAACAATTACAGAGTAAGAGAAGGGCCGTAGTATTCGGGGATTTCAATCTTGACCTGCTCAATCCAGATCAAGCAGTTCGTGATTACAAGGACACTTTAAAAGAGAACAACTTCAAAATTATAAACAAAATTAATCAGAAATATTGCACTCGTGAAACTAAAACTACAAAATCCTTATTAGATCATGTATGCTCTAACTTAAAAGAGTACAACTTTCACCTGGCTATCGTTGATTCTTCGATGTCTGACCACAAACAAATGTTTTTAGAAATTAAAAATTATCAAACTGAACCAGTAAAGAAAATTGAATATACAAAAATCAACTATCCTAACTTATACAAGCATTATGAAGAAACTGCAAGTAATGATGAAAAACTGTTATATGAAAAACTTGAAGAGAAGTTACTTTCTTCGCTATTGAAAAGCAAAATTACAAAATCTAAAATTCTTAACCCCCCCCGGCAAGACTGGATCAATAAGGACATAATACATGAAATTAACTACCGTAATTTTCTATTCAAAAAATGTAAAACAAATACAACGGACTTGGATCTTGCAAAAGGATACGAAATAGTAAAATCCAGAGTATTTAAGACAATTCAAACGGCGAAAAATACATATTTTTATAAACGTTTTTCGGACAACATGACTAAACCCCGCAAAATGTGGAGACTTATCAATGATCTCTCCAAAAATAAAATACAGGAAAGTAGAGGACCTGATATGATTGAAACAGATACCGGACCAGTAACAAACAAAGCCGAAATATGTAAATACTTCAACTCATACTTTTCGAATGTTGGACCCTCATTAGCACAGCTCATCCCTGACAAATATAAACAGAATGAATACCAGAACTCTACAGAAAGTGTCGACACTGGGAAACTTGAGTTTATTGCTCCAGCCACTCCTGACGAAATTATTAAGATCATAGACAAATTAGACCCAAATACTGCATCTGGAATTGATGGCATTACTACAAAATGTATCAAATGTTTAAAAAACCTAATTGTGACCGAACTTACAGAGTGTATTAACTCATGTCTAGACCAAGGCATCTTTCCAGATAGCTTAAAGATTGCCAAAGTAACTCCAATATATAAATCTGGAAGCAAGAGTGACTGTAGTAATTACCGACCTATCTCTGTCCTCCCTGTCATTTCAAAAATTTTTGAAAAGGTTCTTTACACACGTTTGGAAAGTTTTTTAAAATTGAAAAAATTTATTTATCCAAAGCAATACGGATTCCAACCGAGATCAAACACTCTTTCAGCAACGATTGACCTTGTAACTAAAATAAAGAACAAAATTGATAAAAAACAAATAGCTTTAGGAATCTTCATAGATCTCAAGAAAGCATTTGATACCATAAGCCCTAATTTATTAATTCAAAAATTGTCACAAGTTGGTATTACGGGAAAAGCTCTTGAAATCTTTAAATCATATCTACAAAATCGTAAACAAATAGTCAAAATAGGTGAGTACCAAAGTGACTCCAGTACTATTACATGTGGCGTACCGCAGGGCTCGATATTAGGTCCACTTTTGTTCCTAATATATATCAACAACATCAGTCTACTTGGCCTAAAAGGGGATGTTTCTCTATACGCCGATGATACTAGCCTTTTCTACTTTGGTCATTCAGTCGAATCATTAACACCTCATATACAAAATGATTTAAATCTATTAAACGAATGGTTTAAGTATAATCTGCTCACTATCAATATCACTAAAACTAACTATGTAATATTTGCCGCAAAGAATAAAAGAATAACAAATAATATACAATTAAAAATAAATAATCAACCAATTGAAAAGAAAACAAAGGAAAAATATCTTGGTCTCGTTTTGGACAGCCAGCTAAATTGGAAACCACACATAGAAAGTTTAAAAAATAAATTATTGTCATTAACAGGGATCCTTCATAGTTTCAAACATAAACTTCCGCGAAAAGTACAATATATAATTTATAATTCATTAGTTAAACCACACATCGACTATTTAATAGAAATTTGGGGTACAGCCGCTAAAACTAATTTAGAAAATATTCAAAAGGCACAAAATAAGCTAATAAAAGTTTTATTTAATTATAAATTCAGAACTCCTAGTAAAAAATTATATGAAGATACGAAAATAATGAACGTCAAACAATCATATATATACTATACATGCATATTAATACGTAAAATACTAAATAAGGAAATAAATTCCAGCTTGTCCTTTACTAAAAAACATGAAATACAAAAAAGAAAATTGAGAAACGCTAACTATTTAGTAACACGCCCTCCAAGAACCAATTATGGAAAGAAAAATATAGAATTTGAAGGTGTAAATATATATAATAAAATACCGACGGATGTAAAAAATGCTAAAACCATGGCTTCATTCAAAAAGTTACTAAAACTACATATTACCAGTATATAATATAAATAAAATACATAAATGAGAATTCAGTAAAACATAAAATGTATAAATATATATAATGTAATAAATAAATAGATTTCCTATACACACCGTTCATAAAAGTTTAAAATTAAAGCAAGTACTACTAAAATTACATATTACCCGTATATACAAATAAAATAATAAACATTTACATACATAGTAAAATATGTAAAAAGAACATAAATAAATAAATAGATTTTTTTTTTTTCACTTTATCACATTAAAGTTAACTTAAACACAACTACTCCTAAAACTACGTATTACCAGTATGTAAAAATAAAATTTATAAACAAGTACGTAAAAACATATTATTTAAAATGACCGAAAATAAATAAATAGATCCCCTATACTAAATAAATAAAAGTTTAAGATAAACACAATCGGTATTAGTACATTCACCTTGTTTGTCACTTCCAGTCGATTCTGTTTTAGATCTTTGTATCTGCGATTATCTACGCATGGGTTAATACAGTGACAGTATAGTTTTAGATGTACCCTCATTGTGTGTTATATTTATTAGTTCGTATATTGTTATTTCTCTTTAAGTGAATAATGTATTTATTCTTTGAGAAATAAAGTTCTTTAACCACAAAATATACCTAATAATGATAATAATAATATATGTAGATTTTTTATAATAACTTTAATTTTCTAATTTCACCTTTAGACATCTCATTCTCGAGTATACTTCATCCCAATCGATGTAAACGCCAATTAATTTTCTCACATTGTCCCTCCCATCTTCATACTGATTTCGTCCATGGAGCAGCCTAATGTTGTCGAAAACGAGTATATTACCACTTTCCGCTTTGAATTTCGCTGAAAACTTTCGATTTAACTCAAAAAAGAGACTGTGAGCTTCGTACCATGGCTTTACTTTCTCAATAGGGACAGGGAAGTAGTTGCCTCTTTGAGGTATCGAAAAATTGATCCTTGATATATCGCCATGCCTGTCCAAACATATAACAGGAGATCTGTAAAGCTTGTGAAACTCGTTACCGTGTTCCACGCCGATGTCACTCCATTCTACTTCTGTATCAGTCAGTATCTCATATTGTTTTGGGTGATGTACTTTCATATAATTAGCAACGTAATGGCAATCGGAAAGAATGTTTTCTCCGCCGTCAGATGTTGTTTGTACGAGACAGTGAAGTAAATTAATTCCTGGACAGTATTCATAATAAGGCAGATCTGTGTGCATTTGTAAATTGCTCGACAAAAACGCAACGTTATTTGTATTTGTGACATGTTCAACAACGAACCTAAGTCCGTAATGTGTTTGTTTCGGAAAACCAACCCTTTTGACGACAGCGTCGATAGCTGTTTCCTTGTCCGGTGTGTTTTGTATTAACGTGACTCCATACGTGGATAAGTCGTATAACCAATTATACAGAGCCCTGTCTGATGCTACTATTTTATTATAGTCGTGTTTGTTGCATATTTTATGGAAATCTTCACCCTTCCACGTGATTTTTGCTGGCTTATACAACTCCTTATTGTATTCCTTTTGATTTTCCGGTGTAAAGCTTCGGAACTGAAGCCAGTTTAGATTGTATTGCGATGTATGACCGTCGTCCCACGTCACTTTCACTGAATCTTCACCTTTAAGAATATGTTTTGGCTTCGCGTTAAGGTTGAATTTGCTCCAATCAAGAATCCTGCTCTTAGCTGACTTATGGAAGCATTTTTCACATTGACAGTTGTCTCTCAGCCACACAAAAGGAAACTTTAGACTTTTTCCTTGAATTTCTAAAGTTACGACATCTTCGTTATATATAATGCTTGACGCGCTCCGCATCGTATAACTTGTATTTAATTATTTGTTCGAACAATGTTTTAGCAGACTTTTGACATTGTGTAGTCTCTTTATCGGGACCATGTTTACGCGCTCTCCGAGATGCATTAAACGATAATTTGAAATAAATGACTGGCATTTCATTAAACATAGTCTTGTTGTGACGCAATTATACGTTAGTTTATTATGATTCTATATTTCTATTTGTTGATATATATCTGTATCAATATGCTTATGAAATGCTAAACATAATTATTATCTGTTAATTAGATTTATTTCATAGAGGAAAGAGCGATTTAGGTATTTTCCATACAAGCTGCAACCTTCAACACTATAAGGTTAAAGATAATGACTGTTAATGAATGCTAGTTTTTTTTTTTAAATATAATACACAGAGTAAATTGAGCAAGTTGCAAGTTGCAAGTTGAGGGAAGTCAGAATATTTAAAAAAGGGGCGTATGGCAATTCACAGTGCTGTGATAGACCCTACCTTAATGTATGGTTATTTATGACTACCTCGTTGGTCTAGTGGTCGTAAAGGTGAGGTTCATAAGGTCCCGGGTTCGAATCCCGGGTCGGGCCAAAAAATCAATTATTGTGTTAGATTCAGGAAGTTAGTGTTTCACCCCCATGCCTCGAAAATCACTTAAAGCCGTTGGCATTCGCTTGATCTCTCTCCGCACCGTTCCATCGGACGATAAGTTTGAGGGAATAGAGAGTACAGCTGTGCTTGCGCAACACTTGGGTACTATAATCCTATCCTGTGCGGAAGGCTAGTCTCCGTTAAGACAGGCCGCAAATTCAGTTTGAAAGTATGGTAGTAAGTGTAACAGGAAAAGCATGAAAGACAATCATTTATGTATTTATGTTCATTATGAAGTATGTTAGGGCTAACATTGAAGACAAAGTATGTGATGAGAGAAAAGTTATATGTGCAAGATGTTGTGACCAGGATTAATAAAAGCTAGCTTAGGTGGTCTCTCAAGTTCTTTAGACATGTAGAAAGAATATATAAATAAAGAGTGACAAAGAATACTTACCGTAGAAAAAATCATTTGGTTTATTTTTTTTACTGTAAATATTATGTGTGAATGAACATACCAATCATTATGGAGTTTGGATTTTATGTTTGAATTTTAAGCAAATATATATATATTAAGCAATCCGGATTCCCAAAAACAACGGAACCGATTTAAACGTGTTAGAGACTTGCTGCAAGATATGTTAGTAGTATAGTTGTAGCACGAATGGGTCGGCTCGACCCGGACAACGCTCTTACAGAATACAAGCGTAAAATGGCAGCTTGTTGCTGTGTTTCGTATGGTGAGTGTAGGAACCGGAGACTCACGGGAGACTCACGGGTGACGGCGCATCTGCGATTTTGATTCTTTATTGAGGATAAATGTAAATGTCTATGGGTCACAGCAACCACTTACCATCAGGTGGACTGTGTACTCGTTTGTCATCCTATCTTATAAATAAATTCTAAAAAATTCTAATTTTAATTTCATTTCAAAATTAAAATAATTCTAATTTTGAAATGATTTTTTTTAACAACAGCCTAATATTAAAAAGATTTTAAACAAAAATTATGCACATATGTTACATTTTAACAAACGAAATGTAAAAAAAAAACATGGTAAATCTCCTAAAATTCAGGATAGCAACGGGGCACATTGCCAAAGTTTTATTGGGTCAAGTTATGAAAGAAATATGATTTGAATTACCAATAACTGTATCTTTTTATGAATTTATCATTAATGAATAAATTCAATCATCTGATGTATTCATATTATACCAAATTATCCATTGCACATTTAAAATGTTTGCCAATTCTATTTTGTTGTATGTGTTAATAGATCCAATCGCCCGAAGGTGTGAGCTATATTTTTGGAGTTATTTATAACTCTATGTACTTTGGTGGCAAAAATATTTTTTTATCTATTTCTAATCTATTTTTGTTACAAATTTACTTCCATACTAGGAATTACTCCTGTATCGTGGAGGCAGTTTACAAACATAAATTACCCAAAGACAAACATCTAGACCCGGGAGATTTTGTAGTCCATACAAATACTTGTTGCGTGTGGGATTCGAAACCGCGGCCCGCAGCGCTACAAGTCATTGCTAAGCCACTGCGCCACGAAGCCATAAAAGTCTTAACACTTCTCTAAAATTAATAAACTGTCTATAATTGCTGGCGTCCGCAACTTGCGGCAAACGGTAATATATCGCCTGTCACAACGTCCGGTTCCGTGCGCTTGTAATAAAGAGCTCCGAGCTGGCCGTCGCTGGTGCTCACGATCCACGGCCTCATAACTCTGCGCCATTGTTCTCATCAGCATATTGATGGTAATATGACTGCCTTTGAATATAATATCGTCTTCCGATAATATATGAATTGCTCATGCGGTACTTTTGTGGATTTAGGTTGAATTTAGTAAAATCTATATTCTATATTATATTATATTATATTATGTTTATATAATAAAGCGGAAGAGTTTTTTTTTGTTTTTTTGTTTGTTTAAACGCGCTAACCTCTGGAACTACCAGTCCGATTTGAAAAATTCTTTTTGTATATTATAGCCACAATCATCTGAAATAGTATAGGCTATCTAGCATTAAGCTATATTACTTAGCTAAGCTTAAATATGGATATTTGTTAAGCAAGTCAGAAGAAAAAGCGCTCCCGAAATGATTTATCCGCTTACGCCGGTGTTATCGTTAGGGATACGTAAATACAATGTTCTAGAAAAATAAAGACCTTTACTCCGTCTAAAAACAAGTCCGCGATACCATATGTCTATTTCTTATACATAAGCCATAATTTGGTATTTTGTGACAAAAAAATATTGAAAATTTAAAAGTTATTTATGAGCCTTATTATTAAGCATGGCCTATTTATCCTTACGAACGAAAGTTACTTAATCATCAAGATAATTTTATGAAGATAAACTTTGTTATTTATACCATGTTATTTGGACGCATAGTTTAAGAGATAATGTAAAATTAAAATAATTTAATACTTGGCTGGACGCGCGAACCACGCTTAAACCCTAGCCGTTATAAAATGCTTGCACTAGGTCATGTCGCGCACCTCGAACACGTGATGACGCGGGTGAAACCGCGGGGCACAGCTAGTGTTGTATATTTTGAATAAATTTTATTTTTGTTACATACTGCAATTGCATGGCGGCATAAGAGAACATTTATTACCCCATTTCATCCCGTAGTTGTCGTTAGGGGTCACTATACCTTATGCTTTCCGATAGATAGCGTTAGGTGCTCATTAGCGCCAAACCACAGAATAAATAATATGGTCAAACGTAAAGTATCACCTGTTTTGTTTCCCTCCGCTACCTCTTACAACAACCACGGGACAATATGGTGTAGTAGATATCTAACACTGCCACTACACGGTCAAGAGAAAAAAGCCAGGATGTGGTCCATAGTGTCTTCTTCATCATATTCATCATCAACATTAAATACCTACACAAGTCCACTTCTGAACATAGGCCTGCCCCAAAGAACGCCACAAAGCACGGTCCTGAATCACCTGCATCCATCAATTTCTTGCATACACATCTCTTCATTATATATATCACTCGAGAATCTTCCTCGTTCCTTTGTCTTCCTCATAAAAACTAAAAATTAATAAATTGCGGTTCGCAAAACGTATGCCAAGCGTGGCATCTATGGCAAATGTGCCCCTAATGAGAGGCCAATATTCAGCAGCGTAATTCTGATAGGCAGTAACGGTAACGGTAACGATAACGGTAACGGTAAAATATATAAACTGGCGTCGAGTAATAGCTTCAACGATGCGATACAGCGGTCGTCAAGTTTGTCAAGAGAGACTATTAAAGTAAACCCTCTATATAAGGGAGAGGCCCGTAACAAGTATAATAGGTGGTTTGAATATTTATGTTACATGTATTGTATGTACTTACTCCGATTACAAGTTTCAAAAGGCTGTGAGCTATCACTAACGTTATTTCTTCTGCATATCAATTATATGTTGCTAACCGATAACATTCATGCGGATAACAGCACTGGTGGTGCTCTATACACCGGCAGTGTCAGTGTTTTTCGGGAAAACGTCACCGAGTTCTTACATATAACTTTTAAAAAAGAATTTTTCTACGAAAAATATATTATTGACCTTGGCTAGACCATAGATCTGACGAAGTTGGCGCAAAACAATGTCGGAACCTGAGAGGTGAGCCGATATTTTTTTCATCAAGTTATGATCCATTTATAATTCACAATCAGCGCCATCTAACGTGGTACTACAACAAAGTATTTTTTTTAATTTTCTTACAGGTGGCGTTAGTAATAGAATAAAAATCTAATTAATGAAAATTGTTATATTTTTTTTAAATTTGGATTATTAATATTTTAATAATTGATAACACATCTAGACATAAATCAAAAATACTATGTCAAAGCGCAAACCTGAAAGTGTGATAATTATTCATTCAAGTGTACCACAAAAATGCATAGATTGTGTGATAGTACAGAGATAAAGTTATTGGTTGATTCATTCTAAGCATTAAACAAAACCTTTGAGCCGGATTTACATACATACATACATACATATAATCACGCCTCTTTCCCGTAGGGGTAGGCAGAGACCAGTTCTTTCCACTTGCTACGATCCTTACATACTTGTTTTGCTTCGTCCACTTTCATTATTCCCTTCATACATGCTCTACGGTTTAGGGTACTCTTGACCTGGCCTTTTTTTCAAGACGTCCCTGATTTGGTCTAGAAATGTCCGCCTAGGTCTACCCCTTCCAACACTTTCATTCACACTCGCCTTTTACACTTTTTTCGTCAATCGTTCTTCATTCATTCTCTCGACATGGCCAAACCATCTCAGCATACCTTTCTCAATTTTTGTCACTACATCTTCTTTCAGACCACAACGTTTCCTTATCTCACTATTTCTTAGCCTGTCACTCAGTTTAACTCCTATCATACTTCTAAATGCTCTCATCTCAACTGCATTTATTCTGCTTTCATGTTTCTTCTGCCATACCCAAGTTTCACTTCCGTACATGAGTGTCGGAACCAACACCCCCTCATGCACAGCCAAACGAGCCTTGTTAGACGGATTTTAATGATATAAAATCCGGTTTGACGAATAAATTGTTAATAAATATGTACAATGTATTGAAATATAGAAATGTTTACAATAAATACTGAAAAGTTTTAAAATTTGAATGCTAATGGAAATTCCTTCTTGCTCTTATTTTTCCATTTGTCAGAAAGCTAATATTTATCGATGACTTTACAAAAAACTGTTAAAAACGACAATAGGATCCCATTAATCAACGACGGCGTAGCCAAAACAGAATCCAATCAACGAGCGAAAATGCTGCCATATAAACAACGCGTTGGATTCTGAACTGTCGATGTATGGGGGATCGTTTATCACAGGTCATGCGTTAGCTATGCCATTAACGAGGGGTAATATTACCCTCCTGGCGACAACACAAAATCATGAAGTTAAGCTAAGATATATGTTGCTTTCTTCATTTCTGGACAGGGAATCGACCATTTAACGTTTGTTATTGCGTTTCTGAACGTTTAAGTGTTTTACGATGGTAATATCAAACGTCGAAGGGTTCATAAAGGCAAGGTGATGTTTAATTTATTAGATAAAACATTTCAATATATTTATGGAGCTAAGGCTTATCATAAATTATGTTATACGATAGTAAATATTTTTTTACAATAAGGATAATAAACGAGCAGAAAATGATGGTGTGGCCCATATCATCATTATCCTTACAGCCCTTCACAAGTCCACTGCTGAACATAGGCCTCCCTCAAGTAATGCCAAAAACACATCCATCGACTTCCTGCAGGTCTTACCAGATCGTCACTCCATCTAGTGGGGGGACACCCTACACTTCGTCCGCCGGTACGAGGCCGCCACTCGAGAACCTTTTTTCCCCATCGGTTGTCGATTGTTTGAGCTATATGGCCGGCCAATTGCCTCTTCAGCTTACTAATCCGTTGGGCTATGTCGGTCACTGGTTCTACTGCGGATATCCTCATTTCTAAGTTTATCACGCAGAGAAAATCCGAGCATAGCCCTCTCCATAGCTCGCTGAACGACCTTGAGCTTCCTCATCCGGCCAGTAATAAAGGACCACGTCTCAGTACCATCACTGGTAACTCGCAGTGGTTCTATAGACTCGTTTTCAAGTTTTGAGGTAAACTTGACGAGAAGATGTGCCGTAATTTCCCGAACACTGCCCAACCGAGTTGAATCCGTCGATTGAACTCTCGATCGAAGTTGGACTTACCTAGTCGGACTATTTGTCCCAGGTAAACATACTCGTCAACAACTTCGAGTTTTGTGCTCCCAACAACTACCGGCATAGGTGTGACATGAACATTAAACATGATCTTTGTTTTGTCCATGTTCATCTTAAGACCTATCCAACGGATAGGTCTTAAGGAGACACTATTGAGGTCATTGAGCATAGCGCTTAGGTCCTCCAGCGATTCTGCCATAAGGACTATAATATCGTCGGCAAATCGAAGGTGAGTGATGTACTCGCCATTGATGTTAATAGCGTATTCTTTCCAGTCCAGTAGCTTGAAAACGTCTTCCAATGCAGCGGTGAAGAATTTCGGGGATATAACGTCGCCCAGTCCTACACCTCTCTGCAGTTGGATAGGTTTCATACTCTGGTTCTGTACTCGGATAGCCATCGTAGCTCTACTGTACAAACACTTCAGCACTTCGTTATACCGATAGTCAACTTTGCTTTGAAGGGACTGTAACACCGCCCAAATTTCGACAGAATCAAAGGCTTTCTCATAATCCACATACGCAAGGCAAAGTGGCAGATTGTACCCTTCTGTCTTTTGTACAATTTGCTGAAGGGTGTGTATGTGGTCCATGGTATTAATGCCTTTTAGGAAATCGGCTTGTTCGGGAGGCTGGAAGTCGTCTAGTCTGCGTGCGGGACGATTCGTAATGACTCTCGAAAACAGCACGTAGACGCGGCTCAGAAGGGAAATCGGTCTGTAGTTCTTCAAGAGAGCGTTATCGCCTTTCTTGACGAACAAGACCACCGCACTTCTGCTCCACGCCTCCGGAGTAGTACCACCATGGAGGACGGAATCAAAGAGCTTCTGAAGGACTCCAAGTACCGGTTTTCCACCCGCTTTCAGAAGCTCTGCTGTAACTCCATCCTCGCCCGGGGACTTGCCGTTTTTAAGATGCTTGAGAGCTATTATAATCTTGCTCAGACTAACGTCCGGAATATCTTTGGAATATATATATATATATATATATATATATATATATATATATATATATATATATATATATATATATATATATATATATACATATATATATATATATTCCAAATATACAGACATATATATACCTATGGGCCACAGCATCCAAATAAAGAATCAAAATGCAGATACGTTGTCACCCCTGAGGACTAGGATGGAATGACTCGTTTCCGGTAAAAGGGTCTTGATATTTAAGTGTCTAAAATATCAGGGGTGGTATTATCATGAAATCAATTCAAAAATATTTATTTGGAATTCTACACTCATAGGAGATAGCTAGTAGGTAATATTATTAAAGATATAATTAATTTAATATTGCACCTGGCTGAGAGCCTGACGCATGCAGAAATGAAATGAGTAATTATTGTAATTTAATTGATTAACAATAATCCTTACGATAAATAACACGGGGCAAACGAACATGCGGCTCACGTGATGGTAGGTAACTATGGCCGCCCTTGAACAATTGCAATACGTTGGGAGTTACGGATGCGTTGCCAGGTTGCATCGGTTCCGAAAAATCACTGGTGGTAGTCGATCCCACAAGAAAGTTGTGCGAGGATGAAAACTGTTAGTAAGTTACACAGTGGTGGGCAGTCAACATTATACGCTAGGTTATCTAGTGTATGAATATTCACAAAACAATGCGCTGAGAGTGCTGTATTCTTTAATTTTTTACAAATTTTTAACTTTTCTTATTCTCCTTGTTAGCTTGTTTATAGGAATAATATAAAAACGACATCTTAACCCTTTCCCTGTCCCATATATATGAACATTGAGATTGTTTAACTATTGTGTCTATTTCGTGGATAGCGAAACTGTTCAAAAAGTATTCATGACGAATTTTTAAACAGTTATACTAATATAATTAATATAAATAAAAATAATTATAGTGTGCAGTTTCGTGGTCACTTGGAAAGGAAGGCCAAATTGGCCTCTAAAAAGTTTGGCGTGCTAAGCAGAGCGAGACGGTATTTTATGCCGGCACATCGCTTGCAACTTTACAAAGCGCAAGTTCGGCCCCACATGGAATACTGTTCTCATCTCTGGGCCGGGGCACCCCAGTTCCAGCTCCTTCCACTTGACCGCATTCAGCGCAGAGCGGTTCGAATCGTCGACGACCGAGTTCTTTCTGATCGGCTCGATACACTGGCACTGCGTAGAGATGTTGCATCTCTTTGCGTATTTTATCACATCTATCATGGGGAGTGCTCTGAGGAATTGTTCGGACTAATTCCAGCCGCTCAATTTCGCCATCGCACATCGCGACAAAACTCACGTTACCATCCATACCATCTGGATGATTGGCAGTCCACCACTGTGCGATTTAGAAGAAGTTTTCTCCCTCGCACAACTTCCTTGTGGAATCAATTACCACCAGCGAATTTTCCGGACCAATACGACTTAGGAACCTTCAAGAAAAGAGCTTACACCTTTCTAAAAGGCCGGCAACCCATCTGCAATTCCCCTGGTGTTGTGGTTGTTCATGGGCGGCGGTAGTCACTTACCATCAGGTGAGCCGCATGCTCGTTTGCCCCCTTTTCTATAAAAAAAAATATAATAAATATTTACGATAATAAGATAATAAGTAGGTTTACATAACGGAATCTGAACCTGTAAATACTGTTAAAAGAAATAATCGAACTCTTAATAAATTAAATACTCTAGTCTCAAAATTAAAATGATTAAAAACAGGTCCCCATACGATGGTAATTAAAATATATAATAATGTTCCAAATAACTTCAAAAATAATGACAACACCAAGTCTTTTATAAAAAAATTAAAGTCATTCTTAATCGATAAAAGTTATTATAATTTAAGTGAATTCTTTATAGATGCAAATAAATAGTAAATGTATGTGTAATAATAAAAAAAAATTGATGTTAGTCTAGCAAATGTTAAGAAATAAGATAGTTGGTATTTAGTATATATTATATAGTATATATTAGTAGTTAATATTATTTAGTATAATAAAATAAAAAAACTACCCTCTTATAAATTGCTATGCCCCTGCCCCTACGGGGCGTCACTTGATGTATGATGTATTTCTAGTGGCATGCAAATTATATAAAGAAATAAAGATAAAGATTCCATAATAAGTAGGGTATTAATCGTAAGCAAAGTTTGCAATACAATGAATTTTATTTCAGATACCGCTCCCGAGCTCCATTACACGTTTATAGAACAAGCTCTACACCCCGGGCCTTCACTGGCTTTACACTGCTCGGCATCTGGCTCTCCGCCGCCGCGGTTCACATGGCTCCTTGACATGCAGCCTATGGAGGAACATAACACCCCACAAAGGTTACCAAAATGTTAACAAAATAAAAGTACAAATATTTTTAATGGTTTCTTTTTAAATCAAATTAGTTTCTCACAAAACAGCGTGGAGTAACATTACTTTACTTTTTTATTATTTTTCATTCAAATTTCCAAATAGTTTTATTTCAAAATGCCTTTAGAAAAGTGTCAATTTTAAAATAAAAGTTAAGGTTTATTAAGTATTAATTATTATTGCTTTTTACTCGTCGTCTTACAGCGTTTTATGATTATATTGCTTGGCAAAATAAAACTAATGACTGCAACTCAAAATACGGATTCCCCATTAACAATGTTACATATGTGTGAGAAATAAAAAAATCATATAATCGTATATTATGTATTTATATTTTTATTTATGTTGCATATAATCATTTTATATTATGTTCTTAATTTTAATTTAAATGCTGAGCTATCACGTGCTCTGTGGTAAATGAAAACATCGTGAGGAAACTTGCGTGTATAAAATTACAAAATATTTCAATAACATGTAACATGAGAAGTCCACTAACACGCATTGGAGAATCGAAGCAGACTCTGCCTTGCCATAAAATGTATTTTATAATATGAGCAGTCTTGTGCCCAGCAGTTAGACATATAAAGGTTGGAACTTTATCTTTTGATATTTAACCTCAATATAAGTTCATATTTCTGCTACAGGAGTATAACTCAGTTCATGAACCCCAACGGCGACGTGGTCAGCTACTTGAATATAACCTCAGTGCGGCCTGAAGACGGTGGCCGCTACACGTGCAGAGCGCACAACTCTCGGGGCGTTGCCGAACATTCCACTCGGCTCAACGTTTACGGTTAAATACTGTTATTATTCTATCATAATAGTGAATAAGAAATATCTAAATTATTTCTTTATTGGCCACTCAAAGTCCAATTATGAATTTCGGCGTATTCCGTCGAAGGATTTGTCTTAATCATCGCACGCTTGATTATGTCAATATATATATATATATATATATATATATATATATATATATATATATATATATATATATATTTTATACGTGGTAGAGCCATGCTGCAACTATATTTCTGGTATAGTTGTAACACGAATAGGTCGGCTCGACCGGGAAAGGACCACGCTCTCACAGAATACCAGCGTAAAATAGCAGCTTAATGCTGCTGTGTTTCGTATGGTGAGTGTAGAGAACCGGAAACTCTTTTTACTGGAAACGAGGCATTCCATCTTGGTCCTCACGGGTGACAACGCATCTGCATTTTGATTCGTAATTGAGGATAGATGTAGATGTCTATGGGCCGCAGCAACCACTTACCATCAGGTGGACTGTGTGCTCGTTTGTCACCCTTATCCTATAAAAAAATACTGTTCCCCGCGTGTAATTAAGGCTTTTATTTTTTTGCGCGGAGCCCTAATTATTATTCAAAAATTAAAGTAGCCTAAGTTACTCCTTATGACGTCAGCTATCTGCCAGTTAAAGTCTCATCAAAATCGGTCCAGCCATTTCGTAGATTAGCCGGAACAAGGAGACAGGCAGACAGACTAATAAAAATTATGTTTTTGTTATATGCACCGTATATACTTTCATATGCAATTAGTAAAAAGCTGTTGTCTTGATATTACAAACAGACACTTCAATTTTATTTATTTGTATAGATACCACCAGGTACCTTATAACACATTTATACTTTTCCCTTAAACTTTAAGGCATATATGCTTTACCATATTTTTTATAAAATAAGGGTGACAGACAAGCACACAGTCCACCTGATGGTAAATGGATGTTGTGGACCATAGACATCTACATTTATACTCGATTAAGAATCATAATACAGATGCGTTGTCACCCCTAAGGACTAAGATGGAATGTCTCGTTTCCAGTAACATAGGTGTCTGCGTCTAACATTTTATTGAACTTTATACGTCAAGTGTCATTTTTGTTCCCCCATCTCAACACACAAATCATTCATCCGTCTTACGAAGAACATCGCTCTCACCTATTTTATATACACTATACTCACCATCCGAAATACACCAGCATTTAGAGTTCTGTGGGAGCATGGTCCTACCCCGGCTGAGCCGACCCATTCGCGCTACAACCATAACATAGCTGCAGCGTGGCTTTTTACCACGTAGTTTCTTTTAACCCTCATATTAATGCTTTGTACAGGCCCCCCGTCCATCAGGAGCATCGGCCCTCTCCGAGTGGTGGCGGGCGTCAACACGACCATCTACTGCCCGTACTCCGGATTTCCAATCAGGTTGATGGAGGTGCATTTGTTTAGAAAGATTATAAGTTTGTTCCTTTCGTAATTACCACTCAACTTAATTTATTAATAAAATTTAAAACAAGTCTTAGAAACTATAATTTACATTTTTCACCACATTTTTCACATGCACGGCGGTGAAGGAAAACATCGTGAGGAAACCTGCGAAATTAAAAAATAGTATTTTGAGGACATATTATGTCTGCCAACACGCAGCAGTTGGGACACCGTGAAAACCCCTCAGAAATGAGATGTGGCCTGTACCCAGAGTATAAATAACCCTAAATAATAATATGCCCATTAGGGTATAAACAAGCGAGTTATGTAAATTATTAAGCCTTGTACGTACTGAGTGTTCCAATGTAAGCGTAGTCGGTTACGCGTACACAGAAACGCTAGTCCGTACCTCAAGGAACGCGTCAACAATTTTAGCACGCGTGCCGACTCGCAGCAAGTCGTCTGTAGTCGGCTTTCGGTTGCAAAATGAAAACTGTCCCAGTGGCATACGACAGTGTTTCGAGACATGGCGGATACTATCTTCCCGACTTGCGACTTGTCACCACGCGTTCATAATCCCGCAATGAATAAACGTGCACTATACGCGTATCCACCTGTACGTGTATTCATTGCATTACGTACATTGTAGCGCTTAGTCCAAACAAGGCTTAAGGCCTTAAGATATGCCCTTTATGCCAGCGCTTTTGACCCCCTTGTGTGTGCGTGCGCGTATACTATATACTTCGTTACTTCTGTGTGCGAGTTGTGTGCTGTGCGTACCTTTCTATGTTTTTTTTTTTTTATTTTACTCCATATTTCTTTATTGGTTTTCCTTAATTATATCGACTATGATATTTGACATCTGCCAAGCGTCCTGTGATGGCCAACTATTTTTTTTTTGAAGTAAAACTTCTTTTCATGTTCTTTTCATCAGATCTCGACGTTTTGAAGTCCTAGGAAGCAGCTCCGATTATTCCCGGCTGGACTTCCGACTGTGTGTGTGTGTGTGTGTGTGTGCGCGCGTGCGTGCGTGTGTTCGTGCGTGCGTGCGTGCGTGCGTGCGTACGTGCGTGCGTGCGTGCGCGTGCGCGTGCGTGCGTGCGTGCGTGCGTGCGCGTGCGCGTGCGTGCGTGCGTGCGTGCATGCGTGCGTGCGTGCGAGCTGATTAGATTTTCAAGTCGATTGGTCAAGCCGTTGTAAAGATTTTCAAAAAAAAACAAATTATTGAAAGCTTTTCGTGCGTTGCGCTCGAAGAGGGTAGTTCCAGGGATGGCCTGCAGGGTCAACCGTTTTTTCAGATTTTTTTTATTTAAAAACAAAATTTAAAACATGTCTTAGAAACTATTTACATTTACATTTCATGATATTTTTGGACAGTGTTATGTTCTGTTCACATCTTCATTTATTAAATGTAATTGATTTCAAAATCAGAATTTACATTTTAATGCTTTATATAAATAGACTAAACAGTTTCAGATACAACTTTACATACTATGTTATGTAGTTTAAATTAATTCTCAATAAATTCATCTTTATTTACATAACATTAAAATGAAATGTTTATTACCATAATAATAATAATAAACTAAAACTAAAAACTTAAATCACTATGCAGTCCTACTTCCCGCAGTATAAATGCCAAGAACGCTGACTGCGTTTCCTCGCTGAATGGCTTTACTTAGAGTGAGAAATGAACCAGCGCTCTTAGCACCAGCAGCATACAGTTCCTTGAGTATCCCACCTTATTCTCAATTATAAATTATTTCGAACCTAAATTGATGAATCAGCAGTGCAGTTGCTGAACTTGAGGCATTGTGATCGCGGGTTCGATTCCCGCAGAGAACAAGTGTTAGTGACCTACTTATTATAGTGATATACGTAGTGTCTGTGTGAGAATAAGTGTGTAAATTATGCATTTATAATGAATCCACCGTATTAAATAAATTTGTAGTGCTCTCGATTTTTTTAATAAAAACAGAATTCATAATTACAAAGCGAAATTTTCATGAATATTTACAAACACTCAGCCACTGTGCTATCGAGGAAGTATTTTTTTTTTAGTTTATTATATTTATTTAATTAACAAAACATTTACTATAAATCCATATTTTTTATTTAAAAAAAAATTAAACAGTAGGATTTTTTCAGGATCGTGAAGCCAGCTTAAATACATAAATTACACAAGTACAAATATCCAGACTAAGACCAAATCTTTGTAGGCCATATAAATAAGTAATTGTACATCTATGGACTTACAAATATATACGAACTTCCGAACCAATTGCTCTCAGCGCTATAAATAGCTTAAATTTAAATGATATTTGTTAAAATAATCAATCAAACATATAAAAGGGAAAGACATGGAACTAAATATTACACAATAATGAAACCGGTCCAAATTAATTAAATTAAAAGATTACTCAGGTTTCGAGAGTAAATAAGCCCAACATATTTCCCAACGTTAACCCATTTCAATTCCCCGTTTCTCTCAGCGAGATACGCTGGCAACGCGGCGGAGTAGACGTGAGTACGACGGGGGGCCGCGCGCTTTCGAGCCTGGGCGGCGAACTCCTGCTCTGGCCGGCCGAACCCGCGGACGCTGGACTCTACTCATGCCGAGTCACTGCACCCTCTGGCCAATACGCACAAAAGGATGTACAAATATTTGTGAGAAGTAAGGAGTTAATTTTTAATTACGTTTTTTAATTTAAAATATTTATTGCACTTAAAGTGAACTTAATGCTTTGTCTACCAATCAACCACGAGCTAGGCAGAAAAACTTAAGAAGGTGCCATAAAAACATGAAACATGTTTCCAAGGTTTCTCATCATCATCATCATTACAGCCCTTCACAAGTCCACTGCTGAACATAGACCTCCCCCAAAGAATGCCCCATAGCACGGCCCTGAACCACCTGCATCCATTGACTTCATGCATGTCTTACCAGGTCGTCACTCCATTTAGTGGGTGAACGCCATACACTTCGTCCGCGGGTACGTGACTGCCACTTTTTCCCCATCGGTTGTCGGTTCTTCAAGCTATATGGCCGGCCCATTGCCACTTCAGCTTACTAATCCTTTGGTCTATGTCGGTAACTCTGGTTCTACTGTGGATATCTTCATTTCTAAGTATCACGCAGAGAAACCTCGAGCATAGCCCTCTCCATAGCTCGCTGAGCAACCATGAGATTCCTCATACGGATAGCAATGAAGAACCACGTTTCAGTTCCATAGGTCATCACTGGCAACATATTCTGGTTGTACAGTCTAGTTTTACAAGAAGATATGCCGTAATATCCCGAACGCTGCCCAGCCGAGTTGAATCCGTCGATTGACCTCTCGGTCGAAGTTTGACTTACCTAGTCGGACTATTTGTCCCGGGTAAGCATACTCGCCACCAACTTCGAGTTTAGTTCTCCCAACGACTACCGGCATAGGTGTGACTTGGACGTTACACATGACTGTTGTTTTGTCCATGTTCATCTTAAGACCTATCTGTTGAGAGACACTATTGAGGTCATTGAGCATAGTGCTTAGGTCCTACAGCGATTCTGCCATAAGGGCTATATCATCGGAAAATCGAATGTGATTGATGTACTCGCCATTGATGTTAGTACCGTATCCTTTCCAGTCCAGTAGTTTGAAAACGTTTTCCGATGCAGCGGTGAAGAGTTTTGGGAAAATAACGTCATCCTGTAACAGAAACAGAAACGGAACTGTCTTACACCTCTCTGCAGTTGGATAGGTTTCGTACTCTGATTCTGTACTCGGATAGCCGTCGTAGCCCTACTGTACAAACACAGTTCAGTACAAGCAGTATTACAGTCACGTAAGTCCCGCCGCATGCATTTGGAGATATATCTGTTCAGTTGCCTGTATGCTATCAAATCTACTGAAGACGTTCATTTCCCGTCTAACAGCCATGAGATTAAGAGTGTGATCGGAAAGTTATTGTGTTCTTCTCCTGGAATTATACTGGCTCTTCACACCCTTCACACCGTAGCACTACAATAGTTACTATTAAAATAGTCAAGAGGTTGTACCTATTTACGCCGACTCCAAGGCAGTAAAAAGTCTTAGCACCAAGTGCATGTGTGCAACACGTAATCCATGTTAAAAACGCTCTATCACAGAAATAAAATCCAATTTCGATGAAATATATATTCTTAAGTTTTCGAAATGAATGTTGGTAATATTCATTGACTAAGTATATGCTTAAGGAACTATTATAGCTTTGGGGATATGCACTTAAGCTTCAGTGTACGCGAGCAACCTGGATTTGATTGCAACCAGTAGTACTAATGAAATTGTCAATTGTACAGTTTTATACACCGCAGGCTGAGCGTTGGAAAAAAAATTTTTTTAAGTATACATGAATATCTGAAAAAATCAATTTTTTTTGTAAAATAAATAATTTTTAATCTATACTCGTATTTTGAAGACACACAACGTCCTCGAACCAGCATAGGGCATCGTAGTTAATCCTTCCTTCTCCAAAATAATCTTAGGAATACATAAAAATCAAACCTATATCCATATAAAAACTTTATTTATTTATTAATTTGCTTTTTAGTATGTTACATGAGATATTGTTATATACATACTTAGTCCCTAATGGAGACATGCAAATTTATTAAATCTTCGAATTTATAAAATTATACAAAAGTTTATCGACCAAATTGGCGATATATTAAAAATGGGTCAAATCATCGTGTATGCGTAGGTATATGGATGTGGAGGAAGCGAGAGAGGTGTGTCAGGATCGTGCCAAATGGAAGTACATAATCTCTGCCTACCCCTCTGGGTGACAGGCGTGAGTGTGTATGTATGTATGTATACAAAAATAACACATCAAAATCAATCATTATTAAATCGTTAAATTAGCGATAACAAACAATCTATCAATTATCCTAAATATATCTAAAGTAAAATTATATAAAAAATAATATAATTGGACATAAAATAAAGATAAATTAAACAATATTAAATACCATATCAGTTAAGAACAAAAAATGTCAATTGTGAGCTATAGTCCAAGTAATATAGTATAGTCCTATAAAAAGTTGTCATCAGTAATTTAAAAACTCATTTACCGAGTAAAATGTATTTTGAAGAAGCCACTGGTATAACTTTTTTTAAATGTTTGCATAGGAAGATCTTTAGTTATGTTTGATATTTTATTATATATTGTTTTACCCATCCAGTAACAACTTTTGCTAAAGCGTTTACTTCTTGGTATTTCGGTAATTACTATCCGATCTGGGTATCTCGTGTTCATGGATACCACTTCTTTATTAAGTTTATAGAAACTCTTCCAGTGTTGTTTTACTAACGTAGCAATTTCTAAAATATACAAACAAGGCACGGGTAAGATCCCCAGTGTCTTAAATAGTGGTCAGCATGAGACATCTGGGCCAACAATATGAATGGCACGAACATATTTTTTTTTTGTGCAAATAAAACTTTATTAATTTCTGCACTGTTGCCCCAAATTATAATCCCGTAGCGGATAATCCACTCAATATATGCAAAATATGTCATAATTGCAGTTTGTTTTGTTGCCACTTTTGTAAGTCTATAAAGAGCATATGTGAACCTATTTATTTTATTACATACTTTACAAACTTGTTCTTTCCACTTTAATTCTTTGTCAATAATTAAACCCAGAAATGTCACGTTAGTTGCACTACAAAGAGTTTGTCCATTATAATTAATATTAAGTAAATTATTATTTATATTATTGTAATTTATATATTGAGTTTTACTTAAGTTTATTGTTAAATTATTATTACATAGCCATTTAGTTACTGCAAATATTGTTTCATTAATGTCAAAAATATGTTTCGTCAGTGACATATTTTTATTTGTTGTGACTATTACTGCTACGTCATCTGCGAATAAAGTACTTCTATATTTAGTAATGTCAAGTAAGTCGTTCAAATATATCAAAAATAAAAGTGGACCTAGTACACTACCCTGTGGAATGCGAAACGATTTTTTTCTAAATTTGGAACTAAAATTCGACTTACATGCTTATTGTTAAGTTTTAGCACCTGAACACATTGATGCCTGTTTTGTATATATGACTTAATCCAGTGATATGCTAAGCCTCTAATTCCGTTATGATCTAATTTGATTAAAAGCTGATCGTGTGACACGAATTCAAAAGCTTTTGACATGTAAAAAAAGATAGCGGTAAATAGTCCGTCATTAATATTTTTTTAAATATTTTTTATTAAATTAAAAGCAACCAGTGACGTGGATTTTGATTTTTGAAATCCAAACTGAGGTGGATTTATTCTGTTATATTTATTTAGAAAAATCATGAGCTTTTTGTGCATGACTTTTTCAAAAAATTTTGATAAACTTGGTACCAATGTCACTAGATGGTAATTTTTCATTAGTGTTTTTTCTTCTTTTTTATATAAGGGTTTTACAATAGACGTTTTTAATTTTTCTGGAAAGGTGCCAGATTCCATTGATAAATTAACCAAATATGCTAGTACCTTACTAATTTGATTTTCGCACGCTTTGATAACATTTGTACATATGCCATCATAACCTTCTGAATTTGTATTGTTTAATGTCATTATAATTTTATATATATCATATTCACTAACCGGTGTTAAATAAATTGAATTTTGAAGTCTATTTTTAATATTACTGTATATAATTTTATTATCTATTACATTTGTCAAATTAATATAGTAATTATTAAAGGCCTCAGCTATTTTCATAGGGTCAGTTATTATAGAATTATTGTGCTTAATTAAGTCAATGCTATATGCCCTAGTCCATTCTTAATAATTTGCCAGGTTGACTTTACAATATTTTTACTATTTAGTAAAAACTTATTATTGCTATTTTTTTTTTAGCGTAAATGATACATCTTCTTAAAAGCCTTGTGTAATTGTTATATACAACTTTATTATGATTTGTTTTATTAATGTAATATATGTAACGTAATATTTTTTTCGTACAACAACTTTTTTTAATACCTCTTGATACCCATTTTATATGTGCTCTAATGTTAGATTTAATTTTTATTACCGGAAAGCAAATTTTATAAAACAGATGAAACAGTTCATAAAATTTATTGAAAGCTAAATTTAAGTCAGTTTCCAAAAACACTTCAGAAAACGATAAACTTTCTAAATAAGCCTGACACTTGTTAATGTTTTCTTTACTTTACTTATCTTCACGCACAATCCCTGACGGGGTAGCCAGAGAGAACAGATCGCCAAGTGTCACGATCCTTACATATCTCTTTCGCTTCTGTTTTCTTGAGAATAATTTCTTTTGAAAGAGAAAACAAGTTTTGGTAGAACCTTTTTCTTGTTTACGGTAAACCTTAACATTTGAGCAGTTTCGTGATCCGATAACGAAAGCGGAAGAATTATCGCAGTGGAATTTGGTATGTTACTAATAACGTGATCAATACAGGACTGTCCTCTAGTAGGTCTTGTAATATGCAGATGAAAATTAAATGTTTTATTAATATATGATAATGTAGTCGTTACATTATCATTTACAAGCGTATTAATATTAATATCCCCGGCTATAACAATCTTTTTTTTTTGAAAATTTATAATTACATTTATGCAACAACAATTCTAGTTTTTGATAAAAATAATCAAAATGCCGTTTTATTTTAGTCGGTGTTCGATATAAACATATAATCAATATATTTCTATGGGGGATTAACACAGAACAACATTCAAAATGGAACGAGACAGCCAAGTCATCAAAACACGTAATCTTTTTAAAAGGCATTCCTCTTTTGACCATAATACAAGATCCACCTCGTTTTTTGTTTCGTGAGAAATACGACGCTATTTCTTCTTTTAAAAGCTTCTGTAAAACAAAGGACATCTATAGTCGATTGATCCTTAAGCTCTGAAAGTTTAATTTCGATTATTTCCTTTTTAGACAACAGACCTTGAATATTTTGATGCAATATACTAAAGCCGTTAACAGGCTTAGGAACGAAAAAAAGTTGCATTATTTAACGTGGGCGTCGATGTAGTTTGTAACATTTTAATTCTTAGTAGGATAATTCTTTAAGAAGGAAATTAAGAAATTAATAGGGTATAGTTCCTTTTTAGCGGGTATCATATAATTAGAACATATTAAGCTCGATTGCAATGTATGTGTTGTCTTGTCAATATTTTTTACGTTTGCTGATTTGAAATAATAATTTACTTTCATCTTTACTTTAGAAGCTTTACAAAATATATTGAGCATTTTACAAATTCCTCAACTGTTGTTTTATTTTAAAAGTGATTTATAATTTTATTAATAAACTAAGTTATCCGTAGGATTTAACAAGCTAAATAAATTTCAGACCCTCCAAAAATTGCTGGGTTTTCATTCCCAGCTGACTTAGTGGAAGGAAGTTCAATACAAGTGCTTTGTGGTATTACGTCCGGCGACAAGCCCGTTTACTTCTCGTGGCTCAAAGACGGTCAGCACATACCTTCTAATTTACAGGTAAACAGAAACAAAAACATTTTTACTAGTTTTGGTTATAAAGATCATGATTTTGTGTGTAATAAAGGGCTGCGGCTGTGTGTGCTGGAACAGTATTAAAAAGTAATAATAGTAACGTTGCGCTGCTGAATGAACAAACAAATGTTACTAACTCACCTCTCTTAAATATCTTTAAGTCTGCTCTGTAATAATAGAGAGCCTCGCAATATGGTCGTTTGTCACCATCACGGTGATCGGCGATTGGTTGCGTGGTTGAAGGGTAGGCGGGCGTTGCGCCGCGGTTTGTTTTTAATTCTACAAACGGCTGCGTAAGTCCCGCGGTGATTGGTTACATGTTTCATCGCATGACGGAGTCGCTCGCTCCTTAAGCAGAGAGAGGTTGCGTCAGCGGTCTGTATAAATTGCAATTGTTTTGGCTCGCCGCTCACTTAGCGGTTAGCCACCGTAGGGTCTATATCACCTGAGGATGCCTCGTGTAGAGGCAAAACACGTGTCGTATTGTCATCAGTGGTGTGTCTTGCCTAGTGTAGTGGTGTTGGGAGTAGCGGTGCTGGAATTAGTGGTGACGGGGATAGTGCACGCAATTTAGGGAGGACGGGAGGTGCTCTTCATACTAGGTAAGACACATCATTTTATTTTATAACGCGGATATTTGCGAAGTAAATTTTTTTTAAAATTTGTATGTATTTATGACGTCAAATACTTCAGTCGTCTCCTAAAAATGGATGTTGCAACGCACTCGAAACGTCGGGAATTAAAATAAGTTTCAATAAGAACCCGTAAAACAAACTTTATTTAATAAAATTATCATTTTAAATAGCAATAAACTGGTGTGACAACGGTTTCAGGTACAAGAGAAATCGCTGGACGAATTCAGTTTCCTAATCTTCTCACACGTTACATCTAAACATAGCGGAGAGTACACATGTGTTGCCAGCAATAATGCTGCTGAAGTTAACCACACAGCTCGTCTCGCAGTTAAAGGTACTATAATGTTTATTATTTATTAACTTTTTACTTTTGTACTAAATATACTTAATGTCACTATGGCATTTTCTGCCAGTCATTCGTAAAGCATACATACTTTTTACATAGAATTAGGGTGACAAACGAGAACACAGTGCATCTGATGGTGAGTGGATGCTGATATGGTTGATAAACATCTATATTTATCCACGATTAAGAATCAAATCTGCATTTTGATTACTGCGTAGTCACCCCTGAGGACTAAGATTGAATGTCTCGTTTCCAGTAAAAAGTCTCGTCGGTTCTCTACACTCAATTCATTCTATGAGAGCATGGTTCTATCGTAGTCGAGCCGACCTATACGTGCTACAACCGCAGTGTATCTACAGCGTGGCTGTATCCCGTAATAATTCCATCATTCTCGAATTTCAAATGGGGGGGCAATTTGACACGACCGAAAAAAGATCAGGCGCAGCATTTACTTGCGTGCTTCCCGAGGCACAGGCACGGGACACGGTCAACTTCCTGATTCCAGGCTGCAATTGAGGATTGCTTTACATAGAACCATAATAACTGAGCTAAGCCACAACGGGATTCGAAAACGGGGCTATATGATTAGCAGAGGCGCTTTCGACCTCTAGAACAACCTGAGAGTAAATTATGTCTTGTTTATAGTCTTTGACTGGCCGTAAAGTGGCGGTGTAAGAATATCCACTATTACATATCTTCCCGTGATTGTCTTAAAAGGCGACAAAGGTCAAGAGATGGGCAGCAGCGTTACCTTAACAATAACTACAAACAAAAATCTGCGGTTACCGGCCCGTCTGTCAACCGTGGCAACTGTGACAAATACTCACCAATGAGGCAATCTCCTGGGGAGGCCCATGATCACCAGTGGACATCTGATGGAAGAAACGGTATAAGCTATAACGCCATCACCGGATACGATGAAATCTTTCTAGATCGCCCTATAGTCGCCTCTTACGACCTCGGGATGAAATGGGATAGTGAATTCTTTGACGATGCAATGATTAGCTCTTTTTAAATTTCAGTTGCTCCATCTTGGGTATACGAACCTCAAGACGTATCTGCGTTATTAGGCACCCAGATCATTGCGCAGTGTTCAACTAAAGGCTACCCAGAGCCACAGATTGCTTGGTTGAAAGGACAAGGTAAAATACATTTAAATCTAATAGTTTTAATAGACTCCCTTATTCTCTGGTTGTAAAAATATTATTAAAAGCTACACCACCCCATGATTTTTTTTATATTAAATAGAGACAAGCGAACACACAGTCCACCTGATGGTAAGTGGATGCTGTGGCCCATAAACATCTACATTTATACTCAATTAAGAATCAAAATACAAAGTCAGTCATCCCAGAGGACTATGATGTAATGCCTCGTATCCAGTAAAAAGGGTGTCCAGTTCTCTACACTCACCATACGGAACGCAGTAGCATTAAGCTGCTATTTTACGCTGGTATATTCTTTGAGAGCATACCACAGTCTAGCCGGCCCATTCATACTGCAATCATAATATAGCCGCAGCGTGATTTTTCCACGTATGTTACGGCCTATGGCTGCTCCAGCAAGGGTCAAATTCTCTGGGGCCCATTCAGCAGAAGACTTCACGAGCAGACGCAGGTCGGGCCTCAATATGGCCACGTGGAATATGTTCTATCACAATAAACTATATGGGAGCTAAACTAGAAAGCAAAGGTACTTATTTGTATCAGGAGCTAACTTCGCTCCAAGGCTTCGGCAGGCCGTGAGTGTGTGTAATGGTAGATAGCGAGTCGTGTACAGTGATGTGTGAATGTGTGGGGCCTTGGCAAGCATAGGCGACCAGCGGCGGCCGAGTTTCAGGCTGCTCCAAAATGCTGCATCCCTCCAGACTGCTTCAGCGCCGGACCACTTCTTTCTTCACTGTCACTATTCAGTCTCTTAGCTTCATTGTACATTTAACTAACTTCAATTCGCCTAATTCCACACTTATCGCAGAATCGAACACGTGATATCTGACACGGAAAAGACAGTAGCACAAAATTCGACATTAAATGTTCCGGATTCACTTATCACCAATTATAAATTCGGCTCCAGAATACCACGTCGCGCCAGAGTCAAAATACGCCTCGTTGACACGCAAAATAATCTAACTAGGCAACCAAAACACAAAAGGCACTAACTAATTATAACGATATCTTCATCTAGCTATCTAGATCCACGACGGGCCCGTGAATTTAGGTAAGAGAGCCCGACGGTCTACCCGCCTCGTGGCTGGCGGGGCACCGACCTCTCGACCACGCATCGAGCGACTGACTGGTACGCAGCCGCGCACGGTCGCCCCACCTCGGCGCTTATCTCACCTACATACCATCGGGTGAGGCGCCAGCTCGAACGCAATTGGGTGGCGTTCAAACATGACCAAATTTGGGCATAAACAAACCCCCGTCACGGATATAAGGACTTATGTCCGCGAGCAAACCGACAAGCGGGACAGGGTCGCAACGGCACGTTGCAAGACCGAATCTACACCAAAACTAGGCCACCTTAGGCACCCCATCAGATCTTGCAACCCTAGCCACCGCCTCAAAAGTTAGCCCCAATGTGGCAAGCCGGAGGGTCAACTTCCGCTGGATGCCCCTGGTGAGCATCACAGCACCTTAACAAGTCCTGTACTGGACAGAAGTCCGACGACCTCTTTCAACACCTATCTGTGCCCCTATGATTCGTTCCGCAATCCGACCGTAACAGGTCTGCAAACAGCGACGCGACACGAAGCGGCCCAGCGTGACCTTCTAAGCTTCAGTGCAGAGAGCACCCACAAATTCCATATGAACGTCGTGTGTGGAGAGCCAAACGAAACGCACAGATAGTCCGTAGTATGACTTTTCAAACAAGTAGGCATAACCAAGCCATCCACCATATAATCATTTACTCAAATAGTGCAGCAGCTGATTTCAATCTGATAATCTCCAAACTAGCTAGCCCTTTAGACAAGTAGTCCCATGCTCATATTTCAACTAATTTTCAAAAGCATCAATGTTCAACTACAGAATTAATTCAAGCAAATTCATCACCGATGCACATAGGTCAAACTGACAAATTAAACAAAACGATAAACGTAAGAGACAGCCTTATTTCTCATTTCAATTAAATATCTTAGACAGTGCCAACAAAATGTGAAACCCAAAAGAGGATTGAATCTTATTCCTTTCGGCACAAATAGGGTTATCCAATTTCAATTTCCTTTTCAACAACACACCATGACAAAACACATCCACAAAACATATATACAAATATCCAAATAACGCGTCATTCAATTTCAAATGAATTCAAATTTTCCTTTCAGCAAAACAGACACAATAATCACATACATTACAAAACATATGCACAAGCATTCAAAAAGGGCACATAATTCAATTTCAATTCTCCGGGCAACAAAACAAACACAGTAATCAACTACAATTACAAACATATGCACAAGCATTTAAAGGGCACACAATTCAATTCCAATTTTCTGTGAAACAAAACAAACACAGTGATCAAATACATTTACAAAAACATATGAACACGTATTCAAGGAGTATATTAAATTCAACCCTTTTAATTACAACCGCCATAATATGAAACATTTCGCGGAAGGCACAAACCATTTTTAATTTTAATTCAAAGCATCGTTAATTAAGTGCTCGACCAAAACTAAATCTAACAATCCCTAACAGCGCAATTCAACGCTTCCATGGAGCCCTAGTCTTCCCAACAACTAAGCAGAGGCTAACGCGGGTGTGAACCCGGAACAAATAAAGCGCGTACCGTCAAACACTTGACGCTGGGTCGGTACACCCTCACTGAGGCCGCCGACAAGAGAACAGATTGACATGTGAGCTGTTGACGGCTCAAAGAATTAGTGGAGACGGCCGTGGTGGGAGCTAGGGCGGCAGCTACCTAGCTGGGCTGCCTACATCAAAGGGGGGACGGTAGTACCCCGAGCCGCGACCACTCAGCTGACGAGGGCGAGAAGTGTCTAGCTGACCGCTGAGTGGCAGTTAAGTCTCTCTCAATATACTGAGGGCGGGGTTGACGACCCCCCGCCCCTGGGGGAACAACCCCCCGACAGGGGGCGCGGCCGAGTGCCCCCGCCCGTGGGAGTCGAGGGCCCGGAGAGCCCTGAGAGGAAACGCCGTTCGCACCCAGACACAAAACGGCATGGCGATAGCCCTAGCCGCGCGATGGCATTACTTCTAAATACAAATTACTACGCGGTTAAAATTCAAATTACAAATTAACAAATAACAAATACAAAAAGAATTAACGAGTAACAAAATACCGTTCCTATCAAATCAAGTTAAATACAATTACACAAATACAAATTACCATTTATTAGATTTATATTATTACTATTTATTAGATTAAATACGAGCCACAATACAATAAAGATACACAACCCGTTGAATCTACAAAAAATGCCTCGCTCAGACAACCGACCCTGAATAAAAAAGTTTCTATTTCATTCTATTGATCTATCTTTCATTTCATCTATCTATATCATTATAATTTACCGTGTAGTGGCGGTTGAGAATATCGACTAGCCCCTATCATCCCGCGGGTGTCGTAAGAGACGATAGAGGGAATAAAATCAGGAGATGGGCAACAGCGTCTTCCTAATAACGACTAAAATAAAAAACTGCAATTGCAAACCCGCAAGCATGACAACTATGGCAAATATCCCCCCTATGAGGCAATCTATGAGGGAGCCTTATGTTTACCAATTGAATTGAAATAGGCTATTACTGTAAGCGTACTATCATAATAAACATACATTTTTCAGGAGCCGGAGGGACTGACTTTCGTCCACTTTCACGGCTGGAACTGCCCATGACCGTGCTGAGCAACGGTTCGTTGACCGCAGCAGCCGCGGCGCGAGTGCACGAGGGCCGCTACATGTGTCGAGCTGATAATGGCGTAGGGAGAGGACTTTCTAAAGTCATTACTATTTCGGTCAATGGTGAGATTTTTATTTACTTATTTAATCTTTAATATACACAACGATTTATTATATCTATGTGAATTCTACACATTAAATGAAACAAATTTTACGAATTTTATCGCGTTTAATTAAATTTTTTCAATTCCGATCACATTCCAATGGGACGGTAAATAGACACAACCGAAGAGAGATCAGGCGCAGGACCAACGGCTTTATGTGTTTTCCGAGACAAGGAGTGAAACACCGCCAACTTCCTGACTCCGGGCTGCTACTGAGCCTAATTTCTTATCAAAAAAACCACACAACTGATTTTACCCGAACCGGGATTCAAACCCGAGACCTCTAGATCATCAGTCCCGTTTACGACCACTAGGCCAATGAGACAATCACTTCGGACGTACAATACCAGCGGCGAATACTCTTTAGCACCGCCATCACCAATCAGCTTAGTAAGCGGGATAGTTAATTCAAATCCTGCCTACAACAGAAGATGCCGATTTTCAGTAGTGGATATTTACGTGCCGACAAAAAAGAATTCCGAAGACTATACATTGATTAATTTTCTTCTCATTTAGAGCCAGCTCACTTCGAATTTTCCTCGCGCAATATGTCAGTAAGGCGCACTGCAGCGGTGTCCTTGACATGCGAGGCACGAGGTGACCCACCAATACAACTGCACTGGACCCACAATATGCAACGCCTAGATCTTTCCACGTATAGGTTTGTATTTTATTTAATTGAACCGAATATCTTAGAAAATATATTTATTAGTGTCAAGAGAACAAACCTTTTTCTCCAAATGCCATTTGAAGATTAACAAATCCTTGTTGTGGTAATCCCGAAAGATTGTTCTACAATGACGGCTTTCAAAATAATCACCCTCTAATCGCTTCCGCAATAGATACCGTAAGGTGTAATTGTGTAATATACAGGGTGTTTTTGGAACGCTCCCGAAAACTAAGACAGGCGACAACACCAAGTATACCTTTGATCATGGGTCACAAATAAATTCGATCCTGATGAAAAAAAAATCATCTTTTTACAAGGTTTTATTAGCTTTATTCACGCGCCATCATGTTAGTACAGCTAAATGAAACGATAATTTCATAAAAAATATCATGAAAATACTGAAACATAAAACCAGCAGTGGAATGACTGAATTGATATCACCTGACCTGAGCTAGATAAAGGTCAATGTACGCGCGAACACAAATTCGCGCGGCCCGCAACTAGCGGGCCTTCCCACAATACCTAATAATTTACAACACGTGTCTAAATACCTAACTTATCTACTTAACCTACTATTTTGCCACTGTGCTTATCTCCACGTAGCCACTTTAATCCGAATTTACAGGTTAAATAACCCAAATAACTGGTTCGATTCCCCGCTAATGAAGAAATACTTAAATGAAATGTAACCAAGGTTGGAGTCATGCGTTTTTATTCATCGTGTAGGTATGTTTATTATTCTCGTGTATTCAGTTATGTACCTATTCAGATTAGTCTAGTACTAAGTTATTTAAAAAAAAATAGTTATGAAACAGCTTACTGCTCTAAATCCTCCGTGGTCTTATGAGATGCGGCTCAAATTGTGCTCCATTCATTTCAAAGCAGACTTGGGTGCAGGCGGGGCATCATCGTGTGGTCTTCGACACAGTCCGTACGTAGTTTCTCGAAAGCATCCACGATCCTTTGGCGCATTTCTTCAGCACTATCACATTCACGATTAAAAACCCTTTCTTTCACATACCCCACAAAAAGAAGTCTAACGGAGTCAGATCTGGTGAGCGAGGTGGGCAAGCGTGTGGTCCTAGTCTGCCGATCCAGCGATCATCAAATAGCTCATTGAGGCGCTCACGGACGAACCTCACGAAATGTGGAGGGGCACCATCATGTTGGAACTATGTGCGGCGATATTCAGCCAACGATAGGTCGTTTAAAATGTCAACCAACTGTTCATTTATAAAGTTTAGGTATCGCTGTCCGTTCAGTCGCTCTGGCAGAAACACTGGTCCCAGTATGCGATCCTTAAATAAACCTGTCCATACGTTAACCGACCATCGGGTTTGGTGCCCGGTTTGTCGAACAGCATGCGGGTTAAACTCTGAATACACGTGTGTATTTCTTCGGTTCCACAGGCCGTTTCTGGTAAATGTCGACTCATCCGTCCTGATAATGTGCTCAATGGAACCAGGCACACGTTGTTGCTGATATAATAACCAACGGCAGTATAATAACCACTATAAACGTACGCGTTAGGCATTATTAAAACAAAAAAGAATCCAAAAACGTAACAAAAACTTTAATATCAACACGTAATCACAAGTAAATTTATTAAACAAAACGATTGAACTGTCGTTCGCGCACGCGTGTACAAAATCAACACGAAACTGTCTCGAAAACTAAAACCAACGAACCCCGTCAAGGCTGAAAATTACTGCGTCACAAGCGTGAGGCGACAGGGTTAGGCATTCTGCCGTCATAATAAAAAAGGAAGTAACTAACAAAAACGTTAAATGGAAATAAAAAATAAATTGATGAATTTTTCTTTCAGACCCCGTGTCTAAAGTATATTAAAAGGTATCTATATTGAAATATATACGTAGAGACATGAAGATTTTAAGGACGAACTTATTTTTTTTTAAATTTGTTTATTTATTCAAATAAAACGAATTTTCCTTTTCATCTTAGATTAAAAAATACACCTGGCAACACAAAAACATCGAAGGAAAGACGCATATAACTATTTGGGTCTTCCCAACCTAATAAATAAAACAAAACTACCATTCATTTAACATTTTTACATATTTTGGAAAGGTCATTTGAAGTTGAGAGGACGCTAATAGTAATTTACTACTTTTTTCTTAGTAAATATTAGAAAAGCATTGGTAGTGAGACACAAAAAATAACAACCCGCAACTCTTGAGTAATGATTTTAAAGGGGATATCATACAAGACTTACTACGATTAAAACATTTGTACAACCGACTTTAATATAAATAATTAAGGATAACTCAAAAACTATTGGTCTGACCTCGATCAAATTTATATGGGACCACATGTGAAACACCAGCTCTTAATAATAAGATATAAGCTCTTAATAATAAGATATAAAATAATAAGACAAGAATAATTTAAATTTAAGTAATCGATGCAAATATTGTTAAAAATGACGTAGCAACTGGTTAAATAAGTCTTTTCTTTTATGTTGAATTTGTATAAGTCTTTTCTACTAATAAAATGTCATCTGTGATCAACAGCTACGTCTAAAATTCTGACGATAATTTCTAAAATATTGATATTAGTGAATATTAAAAAAATTTAGTAGATGCGTCTTCTTATCATGAGTCGAATGGTATATTTAACTCATTTATTCGAAAATTGTTAGATGCGCCCTTTTTTCTTATGACCGCAGTATTGTTTCATACCGAGCTAGATACAGGTCGACAGCGGAGTGAGTGTGGGTACAGTCGCGTTCTAAAGTACTACATGGTATTGGGCTATTGTTTTATAATATTATAGTAATTAATTGTTTTATTGTAGAATCATAATAGGTGTTTTACTAGCTACTTAGAACTTTGGAAGAGGTGGGAATTAAAAATAGATAATGTTTACTTGAGCATTGTTTGTTATTTCTATCGTAAAATATAAAGTAGTTTGTAACAAAAAAACTTAAGCTAAGGGTGACACGCCGTCCATTATGACGTCTTGGGTCACATGGAAGCCAGATGTTGATGGTGTGTTGGTGTTACTGGATGCTACTTCATCATCACTTTCATCTTCGCTTGAGCTTCCGTCATCAGGTCGATCACATGGTAATTTTTTCGGTATTCTTCCTCAACAATTTTAACTTTACTGCACAATTTTCCCCATTCACTTTTTCGTTCACTAGTTTAGTCATAAAACAATAGATATAAATAATTTTTTTTCCTTCCTTTTTAAAACATCGTCGCGAGTCGCAAAGTAAGCTGTGTATGCGACTGTATTTTTGGAGCGAACAAAGCGCGGGAACCAATAGCATGCAGGCACAGTAATACTGGCCAATATGTGATAAATCGCTGTGCCCAAGTTCAAGGCCAGCGTTCTTTTTTCACCGTTAGCGCGTACATTAACCTCCATTAGTCAGGTGATATCAATTCAGTTTCCACTGCTGGTTTTATGTTTCAGTCTTTTCATGATTTTTTTAATGAAATTATCGTTTCATTTAGCTGTACTAACATGATGACGCGTGAATAAAGCTAATAAAACGTTGTAAAAATATGTTTTTTTTTTCATCAGGATCAAATTTATTTATGACCCATGATCAAAGGTATACTTGGTGCTGTCGCCTGTCTTAGTTTTCGGGAGCGTTCCAAAAATACCCTGTATATTAATTTATTCATTTTGTAACATAATATTACTAATCTATGAGTGTAATTTACGGTATTATATTTATTAAATTCGTTGTCAAACATTTTACAAGTCATTGTACATACTCGGATCTTACCAGAAGACTTATAGTTATACAACGCCATCTATTGTCTAAAAATGACACTTTCTACTGTTTAACGTATGAGACTTTGACGACCAACTGATAGTGGAAAATCCATACTAAAACGATCAAAATTTTAGACACTACTTATTGAAAGAGTGCGTTCTAAAATATTTTGGGGAAAAAAGAAATAAACTGTAGGTATGATTTGGTTCTTGGTAGGGTGTAATTAGACGTAGATCTATGGTCGGATACTTGTCCTATGTAGCGACATACACTACAGTTATGTACCAGAGAACTAACTCAAAAGTAATTATGTAAAACATAAATCACAATCATTGAAATAATATGTATTACCAGTAATGCGTGACGCGTGGTTGGAGGCATAAAGTAGCTGTTTATGGCACAGACTAACAAATTCCATGGCTCTAACATGTGTTCAAAACAACCTATCCTCGGCGTCTCTTCTAGCAATATCTATACAAATAAATAAAATTGAAGTGTCTGTTTGTAATGTCAAAATACCAGCTTTTTACTAAATGCATATGAAAGTATATACGATACTTATAACAAAAAGACAATTTTTAAAATTTTTGTCTATCTGTCTGTCGGTCTGTCTGTCTGTCTGTTTGTTCCGGCTAATCTCCAAAATGGCTGGACCGATTTCGACGGGACTTTCACTGGCAGATAGCTGATGTTATAAGAAGTAACTTAGGCTACTTATATTTTAGAAAAAAAATATTTTAGAAAAAATTTGGGTTCCGCGCAACATAATTAAAACCCTAAATTACATGCGGGCCAAGTCGCGGAGAACAGCTAGTAATAAATAAAATCAGTATTTTCAATACCTCAGTACCTCAATGAAAAAAGTACTATTTATCGAACAGTATAGAGTGTTGACATATAATTGATTTTTTTTTAAATCTCGCAGCAAATATACTGTACTGTTAAGCATAAATGTATTGGTAATTTAACTTAACAGGATATCAGTATCAGAGAAGCGGTCGGATAGCGGTGCGAGCTCCACGCTGAGCATTGCTCACGCTCAGAGGCGGGACTCCGGCGTGTACAGATGCCGCGCAGAAAACGCTTACGGCCGAGATGAACTGTTGATTTACCTCGCCGTACAAGGTTAGTTTTTCACACAATGAAATTAAAAAAAAAATTGAATATTTATCGATGTACTCTAGCAGTCCAGCACTGTTTTTCAAATTATTATTTTATAGAATTAGGGTCACTAACGAGCATACAGTTCACCAATAAGTAGATACTGTAGCCTGTGATGATTTTGTCTAATGGCTTCTAATAATTAAAGTAGGGTATAAATATCTAAAGAAATTCAGTTGATTGATTCAAAAACCATTAAATTAAATACACTTAATTTATCATTTGAATTGACATAATATGTAACTTTTAAGTAATTAGGGTAAAACATAAAGTATAAAGTAGGTTATTATAAATTGGTCGGTTTTATTGTAAATAAAATAAAATAGGGACGCCCTAGATGAAAGTTTCTCCACCAAATTAGCTAGATATTAAAGCAAATGCAAATAAGCCCCTCGGCTCTACAAAAGTACCTTTTTTCGACATTACAGACTGCCACTTTAATTATATTTATACGTATTGCTTATATACGGTTGGTAATCCTAGCTCAGTAAGCTGCAGAGAGCGTATTACATCCCGCAGAGTTTCCCGAAGCGCCGCGCGGGCTGATTGTACGTCGGCGCGAATCTCGCGGCGCGCGGTTGTCATGGCGACGCGGGTACGACGGCAACGCGCGCCTGCGAGCGTACCGCCTGCAGTACCGCGTCGTCGGCGCCGAGCCTCGCACAGCACAGCGTGCCGACTGGACCGACGCGCCCACGCGCGAACTGCCTCCCGATCTCTTGATACAAAAGTACAGTTTATTTTTTTTAAATACGTTACATCTAAACTAGGATTTTCTCTTGTATCTTGTTCAGTTTATATACATAAATTACACAAGGACAAATATCCAGACCCGCAACAATTATTTGTGAGCCACAAAAATGCCTGTTTCGTGCGGTATTTAAACCCCACGCCACGGAGCCGTCACATCCTATAGAATAATTATAACGCGCGCCAGAAGGCACTCTCTGAAATGTGAATACATTTCATATAATATATTATATTATGTGATATTATATTTAATGCCTATAAAGTATTATTGTAATTTATATTTAAAACATAATAGTATTGTAAGCTTATGACGTGTTAGAGCCGCTAAAATATCGTAGCAAGAATACGTCCGCCCGACCGGGGAAGCATCACTTTTTCACAAAATACTAGCATAAAAAAGCAGCTAAATGCTGTTGCGTTTTATATTTTTTTATAGGATAGGGTGACAAACGAGCACACAGTCCACCTGATGATAAGTGGTTACTGTGACGCACAGACATCTACATCTATTCTCAATAAAGACTGATGCAGATGCGTTGTCACCCGTGAGGACTAAGATGGAATGCTTCTTTTCCAGTAAAAAGGGTCTCCGGTTCTCTACACTCACCATACGAAACACAGCAGAGTTAAGCTACTATTTTACGCTAGTTTTCTGTGAGAGCGTGGTCCTTCCCCGGTCGAGCCGACCCATTCGTGCTAGAACTATACTACTAATATAGCTGCAGCATGGCTCTACCACGTGTGATATAGTAAATGTAGAACCAGACACCCCTTTATACTGGAAACGAGGCCTTTTGATTCTTAATTGAGGATAGATGTCTATGCCTATGGGTCACACCATCCGCTTACCGTCATGTGGACTGTTTACAGACTGTTAGAAATATGACGTAGGTAGCTTAGATGATCAGAAAGTTCGCTATTCATCATAGTACATGAGCAACACGAGTTCGGTCTCTACAGACACCGATGAAATTATTAATGACAATTTAAAGTTTTATACGTTGCAGAGCCATGCTATGTTTTAATTGGCTAGGAAAAGACCACGTTTTCATAGAATACCGATGTAAGATAACAGCTTAATGCTGCTTTGTTTCGTATGGATGTAACACTCAGCTTGAGAACTGGAGACATTTCTTAATGGAAACGATGCAGCCCATGTTAGTCCTCAGGGGCTACAACGCATAATATGCATTTTGATTCTTAATTACGGATATATGTGGATGTCTTTGACCTTTCCAAGGCCTTCGACTATGTTCAACATGAGACATTAATCAGGAAGCTACAGTACTTTAGTGTCAAGAACAAAGCGCTTAAACTTATTATTTCATATTTAAGTAATAAATAAATAAATAAATTTTATTTCGTTTTTAAAAAGTAAATGCCTTAAAAACTAGTAGATTGGAACCTCCATTTAAGCAAATAATGCCTGTGTTTGGAGGGTCCGCCCTTCCATTACTATATCCATGTTACAAGGCAGTATGGATAAACATATTCTATATCCATATTAATGTTATATATTACTTAAATTCTATATTAATTCTATTACTTATGTGTGTGTGTGTGTGTGTGTGTGTGTGTGTGTTTGTGTCTATGCTTGCATGAGTTAAAAAGAGTATGTGTGATTACAGTGTCTGAATCTGAACAAATCATGCTACACAATCCAGTAGCTTCTCAATTTCGTCATATGTCTTATGATGAATCCATTCTAACAAAAGTTTTTTACAGTTGTGATATGTTTTGTCGTATATATAAATATCTTTGTTTATTTTATTATAAATAAAGGCAGAAGGTAATAGAAAGCAGAAGGTAGAGTCTCACACTACAGGCAGTCTTCGAATGGGGCGATGCCAATCTTGTGAGATTTAACGCCTCCAAAACACACGCGTGTCTTTTCACCGCTAAAACGAGTCCACTAACTTTGGCTCCTACTTTCCGGAATATATCCTTGGAGTACACTGACCGCCTTCAGTTGTTAGGGGTTGAATTTTCTCCGAACTATGGGCGGTTCATTGAGTCCAGAGCGAAAGCAGCCGCAAGGAAATTTGATGCATTTCCACGCATATTCCACGGATCAGAACCAAATGGTTTGCTTCGTCTTTTGTAATAAGTAGAGCAAAGGAGTGGAATAATTTGCTAGCGTCTATCTTTTCGTCCGAATACAGTCTGGGCGTCTTCAAGGCAAGAGTGAATATGCTTTTGTTACGATAAGACAGTGCGATTTACCATCTAAGGCTGCATCACTATTTACTACAAGGTGCGATTGCGGTTTAGCACTGGCTTATAATAAGTAAAAAAAAAATAACCATTCACTTGCTTGTATGCTAAATAAGTATTCAAGGCTAACGAAAGTGTTTTTTTTATATTCTTAATATTCTTGACAATTATATTGTTCTTGCGAGTCTTATTATTCTTGACAATTATATGTTCCTTTTAAGTAGCGATACTTGAAAATGTATAAATGCAGCTTATTTTTATTTTTATACTTGTAACTAATATTGATCAACAGGCAAGAATCTCTGGATCCAGATTCCGAAGTTATCCTGGAGTATCAAGTGGACGGCCTTCGGCCGGCTACAGCATATGCTTTAAGGCTGGCCGCAGTTAACGACATTGGAGACAGTGAATACTCAGAATCAGTTATAGTGCAGACATTAGAAGAAGGTAAGTTAGTCAATACTATATTTATAAATTAAGACATATTAAAATAATAAGCTGATGTATATGTTGTGGTTAAAATAAGAGTATCTGTCAGCTGAATAATAAGTTTACCTAAAATTGTGGCAATGCTGTCATTGTGCCGTAAGTGAAACGCACCGTAGCGCTATATATAGAACAGCTCCGAAATAACACATGGAGCATGGATCGCTTTTCTCGCCCATCACATTGTCCGACAGGAGATCTTCTTATTCCCTTTCCCTTCAACGGCCAAAATAGCGAGCTTAATATGTCTCTAAACGGTCTAAGTGTCAGACTTTTTTATTTTTTGATTGTTTTCTAATATACTAGAGAGAGAGAGAGATCATATCTCATCTCCCCCATATCGTCCCATGGGTATCGTAAGAAGTGACAAAAAGAAACAATATCAGATGGATAGTAGCTCTTTCCCGCTAATAGCTAGATAATGAAGAAGACTACGGTTGCCAACCTGGCCTGCCCGGCGTGATAACTATGGCAGTTATTCACCCTATGAGGCGGTTTGTGAGGGACACCTATGTAACGATAACGGTAAGATATAATAACTATCTCTTTTATTAAAACAAGGTATTGCATGTGAAAAAAATTAAAATTATTTTCAGAACCTTCAGAGCCACCTCGTAACATTGAAATACAAGCTGACGCACCAGGAGAATTACTAGTTAAATGGCAGGTAACTATTTATTATTTGATCAAATTAACCGTTATTAAAGTAATTTCACTTATAAGTTTATCTATGAAATCGTTTAAGTTTGTGAATGTTAAGTTTCTAAATGTTTAAAAAAAGATATTTTGTTCGTAGTTTACAAACAGTATGGTTTTGTAAAATACTTTTTTCTTTCAAATTATTCACATAAAATATAACCACTGTTCGTAGGCGCCTCCTCAGGAATCGTGGAACGGCGAGCTACTAGGCTATGCGGTGTGGTGGCGCGGTAGCAACTCTACGCGGGCACTCACCGTAGCGGGCTGGACGTCAGTGCATGCGCGTCTGGGCGCGCTACGGCCGCACGCGCGTTACGAAGTACGTGTACGCGCCTACAACGCGGTTGGCGCTAGCCCGCCCTCCGCGCCGTTAGCTGCCGCTACGCTTGAGGACGGTAGGTTATAATGCAATAGAACCCTTTATTGTACACTAAGAAAACAAATATTATGACCAGAATCAAACATAGAGACAAAATCAAAAATGAGACTTATAGTGGTATTCAAAAAAGATTGAAAAAACTTTTCAAATTTGTAAATAATACCCTATCTTTCTCGCAAATGAAAAAGTAAAGCTAATATTAGTAATGCATTTAAATCTTTTTCTTCATAAAATGTTTATTTTTAACAGTTAACAATAATAATACAAAGTTATTAATGCAACTAGTTTTAGGTCACTTTCTATGGAGTTATAACGAAATTTTTACTAATCCAAGTGTATTTTGTAGCTTGGTCTACTATTCCTCGTTAACCTCTAATAGGCTTCGGTCAAACTGAGGCGAATCCCGCGCAGGAGGCGGGACGCGATTCGCTCACGCCGATTGCTTCAGCTAACTTGTATAGAGATGTTCACATAGACGCACGTGTTGTAGTGCCTGATTTTTCAAAATGTCATTGAATTTTGAACGATTCTTACAAAAAGTAAAAGAAATTAGCCCCTGAGCTAACACGGCTCTAGCACGGCACTTTCCGGTTGGCGGGTACAAAATACCATATAGCATTAAGTTCGCCGTTTGTATGAGTTCACGCCCTTAGTTGCCCCGACAAAGGTCGACTGGACCAGGGCCCATGAGTGGTCCCCTCGACGAGCAACAGAGGGCGGGCCCCAATGGCCTATGGATTATTCTAAATTAATGGCTAATAAGCAAGCACAACTTACCGATTTCCGGAGGTAGGGTTGACCACAGGGTACCAGTCAGGTGGTAAGTGATGTGTATGTAAGTAGTGTGCAGTAGGGTGTAAATGTAACCTGACATCCCCGATGTAGTCGGACTGCAGATCCACAGGCGCTGCTTTTCTCCAAATGTACGATCCCTCCAGTAGGCGTTCACCAATTGAAAACTTCTGCTTTTATTTCACTATATTAGTTTATCAACTTTATTGTACATTTAATTAACTTCAAAGTCAACCAAATCAACGTTCATCGAAATTAAAACAAGCGACACGCTGCTAAACTTAAGAACGGTTGGTCAAGGTTCAATGTCCCAGGTTCACTTAGCACAAAAATTATAAACACGAGAACGAACGCGGTCTCTTCTCGAGGCACAAGGTTCAGCGTTCTCCCGACAACGTAAAAGTCTTATAACGCTATCAAAATTATGCACAAACAACTCGTCGATGCAAATTAATGGCAATCAGTTAATTTAATCACTCAAAACTCAAATTAGGCCTCTTGTCACGTAATGCTCAAACAGACAACTTCATTCGAGGCGGTCTTCACGAGACCCAAATATTCAATAGTGAATTCAAAACGACGCGCACAATTATGGACACCAGGCGCGCGCAATCTACTAAAGGTCACAAACAATACCAGTCGACAAAGCCGCGGCGTTCAAGACACTGTTAAATTAATTACTCAATACTCAAGGATAAGCCTCGTTATCACTTAGACAAAATACGACAACACAAAGAGGCACGCGACCTAACGATGGTAACGTAACTTAAATCCTTTTAAACAACACGTCCGTGCGGACCATTTATATTTCTAGACTGCACAGGGCGTGGCTCCCGCGTGCAAAAACGAGCACCGGCCGGCACAAGCCGCAAACCGGTTCCTCGCCCACACGTCAGGCGACAGAGATCGAGCGTAATGAATGCAAGTTTTAAAATTGTTAATATTTAGCCTAAACAGTATGTTTAATACAAAAAGTGTTAAATGAATAAATAAGTATTAAAATTGACAAAGTAAATATCATGAAGAATGAATTGGAACATAACCAAATAAATACATATATAGCAAAAAAATCATATTTCCTCTAATGTTAATAATATAGAAATACGTTTGCTTATTTACCAAGTCCTCGGCGGTGAAGGAAAACATCGTGAGGAAACCTGCAAATCTGACTAATAAGAAAAAAAATACATATTTCGAAGACATGTGAAGTTCGCCAACACGCATTGGGGCAGCGCGGCGGACCTTTCCTTGCCCTAAAACCCTCTCAGAAATGAGAGGAGGCTTGTGCCAAGCAGTGAGACGTGTATATGGGCTGTAACTTAACGTTTGTGTGGACTAAGCGCTGCCCGGATATCCTCTTAATAAATTAAAATAGTTAAACGATTAAAGGAAGAAAGAAAGAAATAAGTTTATTTGGCACATAAATTATAACAAACAAAAAAAAATAATCAAATAGAACATTTTTTTAACTTAACAAAAATATTTAAAAAAAGAAATAATAAAGTCACGAATTGAAGATATAATTACATCAATTCGTAACGCTGATTTTCAGTGGAGCCAGGAGTATGAGGCAGATGACAATAAATAGCAAGAGACAAAATATTAACAAAAATATAAAATAAAGGTAAAATAAAATGAACAAATCTCTCAAAATTCCATGTACCAGTGATATATTTATAGTGTAGTAATACATACAGAAAAATAAACTAAATTGTGTGTGTGTGAGTGTGTGTGTGTATGTGTGCGTGTGTGTGTGTGTGTGTGTGTGAGAGAGAGAGAGAGAGAGAGAGTGGATGTGTGCATGCATACGTGAGTGAGTGAGTATGTGCGTGCGTTAGTGGGTGCATGTACGGTGGTAGCATTGCGAGTGTATGAACCATACCATTTATTGCCTATTTGCTGGATTTTTGTGCTGAAACCAGAAACTTTTTTAATAAAGTTTTGAAAGTGGCAACTGATTTACTATTTCTGATCGGTGGGGGTATGTCATTCCAGCACTTAGTGGCAACAAAGCGGAAACTGCCACGGAAGGCAGCTGTGTGATGCTTAGGGTATGTAGTCGTGATGCTGTCCTAACCACACCCTGCGAGAAAATGAGCTTTAGGTACACATATGATGGTTCCCCGGTATTTATTACTCCAAAAAGCAATGACGCAAGGTGGAGAGGACTCATCAGGTTGTGTCGATTTAAAAATGGGGTTATGTGTGATCTCTTAGGGATAGTGAAGCAGAAACGTGCACAGGCGTTTTGAACTCTTTGTATTAATATTTTGGTTCTAGCGAGCAACCACTCACCAAATACTTCATAAGTTAGCTTCGACAGAATGAGTGCTTCACACAACCTAATGCGCATGTCCACTGTCAAATACTCTCTTATCTGGTAGAAGACCTTGAGTCTATAGAAACAGTTACGTATGGTTTCTTGTACATGACCCTGAAAACGCAACCTTCCATGCATAACGATACCTATGTTCCGAGCTTCCAATACACGTTCTAAAGGATTACTCTTGATTTTAATTTGCGGATTAAAAATTAGAATATTATTTGTCTGGTTATGCGTTCCCAGTAACATATACTTAGATTTAACGGGGTTTAATACCAGATTATTTTCATCACACAAATCGGTTATGTGGTTCAAATCTGAATTGATTTTTGTTACTGTAATATTTGTGTCACTGGGTTTAAAGACATGTACAATTGAAGGTCATCAACATATATATGATAACTACAGTTTTTTATGGTGTTCACTATATCTGAGCTATATAATATAAAAAGTATAGGCCCCAAAATGGAGCCTTGAGGTACACCTCTTGGAACTGGCAACGTGGTAGATATACATTCTGATCCATTGTTTTTATTTATTTTAACAAATTGTGTACGACTAGTGAGGTAACTTGCAAACCATTTTATTGTTAAATTATCAAATCCGTAATAAGTCAGTTTTGATAAGAGTAGGGTGGAGTTAATAGTATCAAAAGCTCGGGAAAAGTCAAGCAAAACTAAAAGAGTACCCTCTCCAACAGCTTGTGCAGTCAGAATATCATCCACTACATCCATCAGAGCGGTTGCAGTGCTACGAGACTTTCTGAATCCAGATTGCTTTTTAGGCAGAATATTATTAGCCGCAAGACACTCCGTCAGTTGTGTACAGACTACTCTTCCCAAAATTTTTGACATAAAGTGCAGGATACTTATAGACGAAGATCCTTGTATTCATTTGAAGAAGGCTTTTTGGGAGTCGGTTTTACTAAAGCTACTTTCCATTGCTTTGGGAGTACACCTGTTTCAATACATTTGTTTATTATTCTGGTAATAACTGTTAATGTTCGGGGTATAGTTAACAATATCATGTTCAGAGTAATGCCTTCATGACTTTGTGCATTTGTTTTACAAGATTTTATTATATTGAGAACAGCTGTTTCATTAACAGTGTTAAGCTTAAAAGTGTTAGGCCCAAATCTATCAAATTCATAGCTAGTTAAACGTGATATACTGACTTCATCATTGCCGGGAAGCTTAAGAGAATAATGATTTATATTATTTGAATTACATAAATGAGTTGGCAGTTCAATGTCTTTTTTCATAAAATTAGCAACGTTTTGTTTGATATTTTTCCACAAATAACGGGGGTTATGTATCGTATTAATATAATTATTAAAATATGCAGATTTTTCACTATGAATTGCCGTCCTTACAATGCTTTTTAATTCTTTGTAATATTGTTTATGAATATCAAGTTTCATAAATCTACTTTTAGCATGTGATTCATCGCCCAGTTTAATCATTTCTTTTACAGTATAGGTTATCCACGGATAAGATTTTTTTTTATATAAAACGATCTAACAGGAGCATGCACATTGTATAGTTCAAGCAAAATATTGTTGAAATTTTCCACCATTTTATCAACATCGCCATTTACAACACTTTCCCATTCTATACAGTTGACATCTAAGGCAAATTTTTCTATATTTATATCCTTTAACGGTCTATAGGTAATTGTCTTAGGTGCATGTTTGATTTTATTAATATTCAGTTCACAAATTAAAAATGCATGACTGCAAAGATCAGGAATATAATTGACGGTTACGTTACAAAGAGTCATGTTAGAATCATGTAAGATCTGTGAAATGCGTCGGTTGCTTTACAAACTGAGTGAGATTCATGTAATCAAAGAAATTTTGCATCGTTTTAACATTAGTTTCCTGTATGTTAAGAAGATTTATG